ATCATGGCATCTATATGGATTACGATTAAGTATTGTCAACAGGTTCGGGCGCAACAGCAGGCATCTGAAGTTTCGGTGATTGAAACTGGTTATGTGGGTACACTGTATGCATCTGTGAGAAGGCTATGAAGGCTGGTCTGAGGTAATTTGGATGATGTTTACGCATCTCGCGCTCCGGTATCAATCCGATACGGTGATCTGGTGCGTAGATATGCCACCGCCAATAAACTTTTATACATCGACACCCATGAGCCAAGCTTTCTGTACAGTTTGTGTGGCAGCGCGGCCCGACCAAACCTTAGGTATTTTTTACACCTTCAAATTTGGTAAAAGAGCGAGAGGAGCTTTGAACAGTGATCGTATAAAAGGCGTGCCTAAAAAAGCGGAGGAAAAGGTTGTTTTCAAAAATTTCGCGCGCCTTCGGCGCAGCATTTCAAGAACACTTGACCTTTTGTGACCTGGAGTATAAAGAATACACACGATGCAAAATCAATGCAGCACGACCTATACGAGGTTACGCAAAAAAAAAACTGGTGGCATGGTAAAAAACGCCTCCCAACCCCCCAACCCCCACTGAGCGATTTTTTATCTCGCGACCGTATGGCGCCCTCCTTGGGTGAGGTGGCGCCCTCCAAACCCTTGGCCCCCCCCCTTCGCGATTTTCTAAATACGCCGCTGGTCGAGGCCACCGGCAGCGGTGAGCTGTGTCTACCGGTGTGTATCGACCGCTATGTCGCCGCGACGACCGCAACTAATCCGACGTCCTCGGCCTCGACTTACGTCGGGCGCATCATGGATCGTCAAAATCGCCGGTGCATGAAATAAACCAGAGCAGAACGGTTCATTGGCGAACGGCAAAACCCAAGGTCGGACTGTGGGCATTGGTTGTGAGGCTTTTCATATGTGTCTTCCTGAAAAGCGTCGAATGCATCAATAATTATCACTGGCTCATTATGACGTTTGCTGCACAGTTAACATTGTACCTAGCTGCACATGAGGCCGGTCAACTATTGCAGCGATCAGCTGGTCACTTTGCTACAGGGAGAGAGTTATGGCGGAAAAGGTACCACCTGGAGAAACGACACGGAAACTCGTGAGAGGAAAATGCACGACAAGCGTCATACCGAATGGCTATAAAATGCCACCTGCGCCATAGGAAATATAAGAGGGCAGCACACGTTCAGAAGTTCGTTGTTCGTTAAGTACTATAAAAGGATAGGGTTGGCTATTGACCAATAAAAGAAATTTACACGAATAAGAAAATAATGTCATGGGTCACTGACCAAGTAAACAATTAATCGAACTGACGCGCATAAAAAGTACAAACTAAGACGGTTTTGGTTGAAGTTATAAATACTTATAACGGAACATATTAGACGTACCTGGAAAATATACTTCCTTGAAAAAGCGTGCGACCGAAATCATCAAGTAGGATTTTATCTTTGCTATCCGTTGCTATTCATATACGCTTCCTGAAATGGAGACTTTGGTTCGAAGTATGGGATATTGTGGTGAAATCATACCACGCTTTTTTCATGCAATCTTAGGGTTGGTACGCCGATCGACTCGGTGCTATACTAACGTGGTTATACTAACTGACGTGGTAATACGTGGTTATACTAACGTGGTTTAGGTCCCGATACATAAAACGACGTTGATAGGAAGCCAAAATCAGTTATCATAGGGTGTTAGTTAAAGAAAATATCGTGATCTGTATTCTGTATCACATAAAAAAAAAATACAGACGCGTGTCAAGTACTGGCTCACTACTAAGCAGTCTATTAATAGGACTCGGCACCCACAGGTGAACTGAGTCATGGCTGTTATGACGGACGATTTCGGCGCTATTCGTGGTTGTGACGTCATTCGCTAAGTATGAGTTAGCCTGGTATGTTGACGGCTACCCAGCACCCACTTCAAGTGGATGCATATGAACTGAGTTTTATTCAAAGCGCGCTGACTGGACTTGAATAGACAGTTATGGACCCGCACCATGCTAGATTCCTTTTACACTGCATGCCAGTCTTGATAAAAATAGTCCTTATCAAGAAAACAACGCAGCATATTGCCAACGCACTGAATTGTATGTTGTCGGAAAGTGTGGGCACTGAGTTATCGTTCGCAGAATACCGATAAGTATGTTGCCTGCCTGTCGGCACCGGTAAGTACCTACCATATCAGCAACAATGTACACAAACAAACACTAACAGATACCTCAGAAACCAGCCACCATCAAGGGCACCCGACTACCTGACAAGGGCGGCCCGGTGCCGTGACGATCAGATGACCGCCGTGACGATCAGCTGACCACCGTGACGGCTCAGCTGACCGCCGTGACGGGCGGCCCTCACGGCACCGTCACGGTGACGGCCGGCTCGTGACGCGGGTCGACTGATGCGGGTGCCACGGTCTGAGTCACGCGGCCTCGTGACGGGCCGCTAGGGTCAGTTCGTCCGTGGGACGTGCGTCACTCTGTCCTCTCCCGCGTCACAGCTAGACGTAAGAGAGACGCTGAATAGGACGAACAGATAAACAGCGGACTGACGCACAATGCGGGGCGGCGGAGCTACGACGAGTAATGGTGATTGTCGCAGACAGCGGGTATTCTGGCTGATCCAGAGAGAAGGGGATTCACAATGAGCCTGCGTGGCTCGCATAATTTGATTGTGTAAGCTAAAATGGCGTGCGCATTGCCGTTAGAAATGTTATACAATGTGCTTAAAAGGTATCAGCAGAAATAAATGAAAATTATACCTTACGTAAGTTTTGTCAAGCATAGGTAGATATTCCATTTCTAACAGCGATAGCTTATGAGAAAAACGTATAACAAAGGACTTTCCCTTCTGTTGTCTTTTCCGGTCACCATTATTACGGTTTCGTTAGTTTAATCAACACCCCTGTTTTGTGATGCCATAAAACTCTTATCTTTATCGCCTAGTTCCGGGTTTTGTCAGTCCTAAAGCGGCGATATCAAGCCACAGCCGTCCCACAGAAAGGCTAATTGGCATCAACAATGCTGGAACGGCACTGGTGCATGGCGGCGGGCCTTGCACTGCGTCCTGTGGAGTGTGGACCCAGGCCTAGCTATATCGGAATTCTGTCGTTGCAGAGTGCAACTCTCCCGTTGTCATGCACTTTGCAATATATGTAGGTAACCGTGCCATGTGACGGTTTCCTGTCTCAATGCACCATGGCGGTATGGTATCAAACGATGACTCATGCTCCCTGACTCCCCTTGTCACCCGACTCCGAGTTTCCTGCAGCTAACAGATCAGCCATCACCCCACCATCAGACCCACAATGGGCCACAGACACGCCACCAGCAACAGGGTAGGTACCGCCCACCCCACGGAGCTGTCCGCCACCGGCCAAACCGAAGGTCACCAGAGGTCATTCGCCCCTGCAAATGTCACATATTGCTGGAAAAAAAAACTCCCGGCCATCCGACGCTGAGGTATGGGTGGTGTGTATTTCAATCCGGAAATAAATCGTGCAGAGTGAACTGAGCTTGCAAACAGGGATGTTCCCGACGGTAATTTCCGAGATCGTTTGATTTCACTTGTCTGGTTGCCGAGAGAAAACAAAACCAATGCCCCTCGAGCGATGAAAAGTTAACTTCGTTCGAGTCAACACTGCAACTGCCGCAATCTGGAATCCGTAGTAAAAATATTATGCCGACCTTAAATGATACCCGGTTATTGTACTCAAACCATGGCAAGCAACGTGCATATGCATCAATACAAGTGCATAAAAATGCGCCATCGCACAACATTACCGCCCTCTTACACCCTTGCCGAAGCCATGTCAGCCTCCCCACATACGAGTGTGGAGGGGTCGAGGGCCTCGTGTCCCGAGTGTTTGCGCGTGCCCCGACTGCCGTACGGCTTCTGCCTCTCAGAACTGACAGAGGAGGCGGTCACGAGGCTGACCACGGGACCAAGCCGACCGCGGCTGGAGCTGGGCACGTCTATCCACTCCGCATCGCCAGTCATAGCCGCGGTGGGATGGAGAAAAAGACGGCCGAACCGATCACAAAAACGGCCGCCTTCACAAAATCGACAGCTTATAGCGTAGCTCCTTTTACCCTTTATAAGGCGAGAAGTGGACAGTTCTGGGAAGCACGAATGGATGTCAATAATCTGCGTTAGAATCAAATATATCTCAGAAGTAAGCATGCTGCAAATGCAACCAAAATGCGGACAAGCGCCTCTGTATGCGCGTCCGAATGGACACGAAACGAGACCAAACGCGAAAACCAAACTACATCAATAGCGACCAAAACGCAGACAGGAGAAGCGGGTCCCTTCCCAGAAACTAGCCCCGTGCTAAACGTGTACCCGACATAGTAGACCCACTGCGGCACACCCGCCACGCACCATTAGGCGCGATTGGACTACTTGTGTGTCTCCCAATGACGTCAGCAGCGCCCGGGCTGGCCGGAGAAGCGAATATATCACCGGGATCAGGTCACTGACGAGCGCGGAATACGGTCGCGCCGTGCAGCTATTCACGGAGTGCAGTACCGCGCAAAACATTACAGGCCGGGCGTAATACGCCAGAATTACGTAAATTAATGGACGTACTGTCTGTATAATTGACTCGCTTCGCCGTTATTAATTTTGAAGCGTTCCTTCGACGACAAGAATTTAGACCACTGCTGCAAGAGTCAGAGTTAAAAAGAGCTCCTGAAGCTAATAAATAAAATATTGTTTCAGATGCCGCTAGGAATTACGGTATTGACATTAACAGCTTGTGGTTTATTCGCAGCAGAATAACTAAAAGCGTTCAAAAATAGCCAGCGATCTTTATACAGCACAGGAGCTGCTATGACCATCACGACTTCATGGCTTGCATTTGAACCTGATGAAAGCAACCCAACGCCTGTTGTTGGTCTAGTTCTAGTTGAGCGAATGTAAGGTTGGATCTAACCTTAAAAGCTGGCAGACCACACCACAGATCTAGCGGCACCGCTGTCATCTCTCCAAACCACAGCACCTTACCTTACTGTACTGTCCGACGACGTATTTGAGTATGTTGGGCGGCGCCTCGTGCAGCAGCGGGTCCAGAGCCGGCATGTAGACGCACATCTGCAGCACGGATTTGAGCGTGCGCCGCGCCTTATCCTGCAGATCGTCACTGCTGTCGGCACTCGTGTAGCACTGCAACGGTAAGGGAAATGCGGGATGGGCAAGTCAATCATAGTCAATTGAAGTCAATTCAGGAGGGTGCACCGAGCATGGTGTTTGAGTGTGTGTCTGTGGAGAGGTAATGGGATGCTATGTGGGAGGTTCGTGAACGACAATGGGGTGTATGGAGATGGAGATGGTTAGAATTTATACTGATTGAAGGTTTCAAGCAGACCATGTGAACAAACATCCCACAAAAACAATCATTACGGAGCGAGCGAAGCGAGCGGAGTCTCATACTGAATTAAGGGAAAATCCTGAGTATGAGCGGCCGGCCGGCCGGCCGGCCGGCCGGCCGTGGGGACGCTCTTCAAAAGCTAATATCTTAGGAACAGGACATCCGATTGACAAGCGGTCTTCTTTACTGAATGTCACTTGGACGTAAAAGTTATGTGGTGTGATGGCCACCATGCGTTCTTGCCAACCACCGCACGTGGCGCGTGGTAAAGTTGGACATTTTTTCAGAACCCCCAAAATGGCAACCTCAATAACGGCACAACGGTTGGGCCGATTGAATTGAAACTTGGTACACAATTAGGTCTCCATCAGATAATTCATCTGCATGTGTTAAGGTTGGGGTGCTACAGCACGTGCGCACGTGCAGGGGGCGCTCCCAGATCTCGAGAACGGCTGGGCCGATTGCGCTCAAATTTGGTACACGGTTGGGGACCAGTTAGTAGGGTGCCGTGCAAAAGTCAGTTTGGACCCCGCTTGCACGTGCGCACGTGCAGTGTGCCGCTTCCAGATCTCGAGAACGGCTAGGCCGATTGCGCTGAAATTTGGCACATCGCTAAAGACCGGTTAGTAGGGTGCAGTGCACAAGTTAGTTGGAGGTACCCCCTCGCAATTTCGCACGTGCAAGGCCCATCCTCTCGCTCGCTCCGTTGGTCGCCCAAAAGGCGTTTTACTGGTTAGATATGTTACTGTAGATGCTGCAAAGTGGCACCTGCAGCACCAATCGAAGACAAGTAGGTAATTGCATTTGCTTTCAACATAAATGTCCTGAGGTGATATTCCACGAAGAAATTGTCCAATATTTGCAATCTATGTAAATGACTGTAATGACTAGAGCTACGTAAGAATTTGCATTGATCATGCCATGAATAATGAAATAGGTTGCATAATATGGTGTCGTCATTCCGTTCGCTATTATGAATCAGTCTGGAAAGTCACATAACCACTTGACATCAGAATCTCTTATTCATGATCACTTCTCCTGGCCGAGACAGCTATTCGGGCGTCCGAAGGCGAAGAGCTACCAGCGGGCATAATGCATACAATTTCGCAACTCGGGATTACTTGTCACAGCTTCGGATATCCTCCCGGTCAATATCCGAGCGCCCGGGCGATCCACCTCAGCCCACGCATAGACGCCCGTCATCCAGCAAGGACAATGTTAGGTAGGTGCCACTGACCAATAAGCTACCACGCGTGGGTGATGATAGGGAAATACCCGGCCGTCAACGGCGTCTCGGCGCTCAGACCCAAAGTGTGTGCGGACAGGTCTCAGGGGATATGAGCGGATTTGTATGCGGACGTCTTTATGGTAAAGTGGTTCTCCGAGTATGGGAGTCCCCGAGGCATCAAGTGCCTTTGAGAGAAGTGTCTGCGGTGGGATGGCAGAAAGTCCCGGCATTAGCCAGAATTATTAGGCATTGCGGAGCCCGCCTAATGCTTATCAATCCCTAGTGCGTTAGTGAATAGGGCTGGTAATGACGAGGCTTCTGAATACGAGAGTCAAAACTCACAGCTCGGCAATCTACCTCTACGCCCTGAGCGTGTCTCAAAAGTAATGTTTCAACTTGACTTTGTCGCTGCAACAGAGATGAGCCATTGAAAATGAGGCAAATAATTGAAGGCAGTTGTTAAATTACCACGGATTTCGTATTTAGCAGCGGCAACAAATCAGCAATGCCAAAGATTGCAATCAATGAAAATGATAGATGTTTATCACTTGAACCGATGAAGGAACGCCTCCGAAATATATTCAAGTGTTTTTGGTAACTTTTGGCAATTTTTAGAATTTTGAACAGAAGGTTATTGCATTAAATAATGCCAAAGATTCTTCGTTTAGGTACTCTGAGGCATAAGTTTAGCATGATGTGCATAAAGCTCACTGATAAGAAATCGGGTGATGCTTCTAAGTTGGAATTATTTTCGTTTCAATGTACATATATAAATTCCGTTGGAGGAAAGTGGTTTAAGTAAGAATTGTTCTGCACATCAAACAAGCATTTTCGGAACTCTCCATCTCGAACAAAGCCCACAAATAAACTAATATAGGAGTAAATTCATATTTTATGACAACAAAAACAACTCATGATCATCTTACAAAGAACCCAGCGGCTTCAATTCAAAGTGACCTCTACATGGCCTTGAGGTCTACCAGCTTTGTGCGAGCCAGTTACCATTCTTTCGTGGACCAGGAAGGAAACCACTGAATCAACAATCGAAAACCACCCCACCGTTCATCCAACAATTTTACAGCACGCTATCCAAACTCGCCGCTCAATTGAGGTCGCCGCCGTGACCACTACCCCAGGCGGGGCTTTCCTGCAATAGCTCTTTTATAACTGGCGTCACCGTTTGTGGGTCGTCCGGGCCCCGGAGACGCGGCCTGGTTGACATCGAGGTCGGTCCGACCGACCGCTGACCCCTGACGACCCGCCAGGGAGCGGCTGGTGACATGGGGAGCCTTGACCGTTGCTCATGGGGTTGTGCGTCACGTGGTTCCACGATGTAGATCAGGGTATGGCGAATGGATGAATTTTTGAGTTATGTAGGACACATGCAATTAGTACCTACATGGAGCACGGTGTGACCGAGATGTGGAAATATCAAAAGAGCGAGCATTCGAGCAATGCGAGGTACGTAAATGGAACTGGGATCAAGGCATGGCAAGATTAGGCACACAGGAATAGAATATCTTGGGTCGTGCAGGGTACGAAAATGGAACGGGGACCGAGGCGCGGAAAATAACATATAAATAGACATTCGGTGGTGAAGGGCACGTAAATAGAACGGAGGCCAAGGCATGGAAAATTGCATAGCAAAGCAATAGATGCAGGCTACGCTAATGAAATGGTGATGAAGTCGTGGAAATATTACGATATATTGTTTTCCAAATATGGTGTTGGCGGCTGCCCAGCGTCATATCCCGGATGTGATCAGTCGTGTGTCTCCATAATAAGCTAAGAATAGATTCGTCGGCTTGGTCTGAAAATACTCGCGCAGCAGCTAATATTTTGTGTCTGAACAAACAGCAGTACAGGCAGATGAGCAAACGTTGCTCTCCCCAGGCTACCATTATTGAATCGTTTACCACGAGGTGCGCCACCATGACGGAACCAATGCCAAGGAATAGGCCAGCCAGCCGCGCTAACGGTCACCACGCCGCACGGAGGCTTGCCTCTGAGGAAGTCCTCACGCCGAAAAATGGTGACCGTCCAGCTCGGAAGCGTGGGTTTTAAGAAAATGAGAGTCCCGAAGATCGTCGAGAGATATCAGATAAGCACCTTCAGTATAGCGACTAGCGTGTCAGGTCATGTAGCGTCACGCACTCGCGCTTACCTCGAGCAGTTTCGGAAAGAGGTTGGCCATGGCGATGGCTTTGGCGTGCTCGGGCGTATGGCGACCGATCTGCCCCAGCGCCCAGACGGCCGCGCCGCGAATGTGGTCGTCCTTCTCCTCATTGAGGCAGATGGCCAGCTGGACAACGCCCTGCGAAATATAAAACAGACAGCGGTCAGTGAAAGAAGAGCTTCCAGCAATTCTTCAGCAGCTTCATTTATCATCCAGCAGTAGATCAATTGCTAGGAGAGAGTGAAGCAAGAGCTGAGGCCGCCTGACGGGTTCACTAGTTACACGCCCTATCTGGCTGCTCATAACGCGTAAACGGTCGGCACTCGGCCAGCACTCAGAGCCGCTCCGATTGCGAACGAGCGCTGCTGACGTCAATCGCCAGCAAATCGACCCCCATCTGTGAAACACATCAAACTTTCGCCACTAAACTCTGCGCCAAGGCCGATATTACGCCTCATTGGCAGTCGCCGGCGGCGGCGGCGCAGTGCAAAATCATTGCGTTTGTTAGTGTCACTTCAGACATTAGAGCGGAGATGAGATCGAATCAATCACGACGCTCGCTAAATTTCAGACATCGAGCTTGTCGAAAGTTAATAATCGTCCTAGATGGAAAACAAACGGCTGGGCGCTACTGCTGAGTGAAACCAATAAAATGATTGATACAATTTATTGCAAGCGACGCTGCAACGAACATCGATGAAAAATTAAAATGGTAATGATGCAGTTGCACAGCAGTACGCAGAAGTGAAGCATTACGAGTGACATGTTAATTTAAGGATGCTTTGTGGCGGTCCTTTGAAGTAAACCTGCCGCCAAGTCACCACAGCAAAATCATTCGTAACATTTACCTTCATTATGTAAATTGCATTTCACGCTCACAAGGATTCTCAGAAAACCGCATTGGAGATCAATAAGCAAGACGAAATGTCCATGAATTTGGTCCGCTGTTCAGTGTTCACTTCATCGCAATCGCTGCCTGTCGAGGCCATGGCAAGGAAAGCAATATCACAAATCAATGGTCAGCATCCTTCCGCTCAGTCGATTCCTCAGAATCAGCCCCCAAAGCTCACTTTGTCTGATCTTCTGTCTTAGTTGTCGTTGCATAACACTGTAAAACTCATCAAGTTGTCCTCATCTGTCTCAACACCTCCAGATGTCATGAAATTGGGATTCCGGAGCTGTTAATTCATCCAGAATTTGCGCAACGGTTGTTGGGCAGCTGCGCTCTGCCAATAGGCGGGCGGGGGGAGGGGGAGACGGTGGAGACGGTGGAGACGGTGGAGACGGGAGACGGGAGACGGGAGACGGGAGACGGGAGACGGGAGACGGAGACGGTGGCGGCGTGCATCGTCATTACAGCGGATGGTTTCATATTTCACTGGTCTCATATTTCATTGGTCAGACTATGAAATGATTCCGATCAGTGTACTGTATCCGTTATATAACCTAGTGCAAGTGAGGGTTGCTGGATAGTGGGTTGGAATAGAAAACGGCAACATCTTCTTGCTGATCAGTTAGGTCGAAAAGGTTAAACACACGTAAATATCAAATAATAATCGTGAAAGAGATGAAAATCATGTTCTTACACAGCCCAATGGTAACAGCCGCTTAGAGATGGAATTATCAACAGGCACACGACAAACCTAATATCCGAAATGCTATCCGAGCTCCCCGTATGACCCCTGTCCCCCGTCCTACACCCGCTGGCAGTCCCGGTAAGGCGCGTCCCAATCCGGTGAAGCCAGAGAGCGGCCGCCCGGTGTCCCCTGGCCCGGTGGAACTTGTCCCGCCCGCCCCGGCGGCGTGAGCACATCTGCGGCTTCCGCCCGGGTCAAGTGTAGGGGATCGTGTGACGCACGGACGAAATAAGCATTCAAAAATATTCAAAGAGTGCAAAATAAGAACAATGGCGAGGCAATGGTAAGCCAAGTTACGATGATTTACTGGTAAAAATGGAGAATAAAAACTGCAAACAACGTGGCATGACTTCTAATCAAACCCAAAATATGATTCCTATAGAACTAAAACCCCATCCCAAATTTACTGTGGCGCAGCCGAAGAAACAGGCAAACTTTGTGTTCTCCAAAAGAAATTAATTGTAATTTATTATAGGCTATCAAAACCAAACGACTAGGTTTGATCGATCAAGTCCTTCTCCACCCAAAGGCGACTTTAAGCTGTGATAGATCCAAATGCCACACTACCGCGACGCATATATACGACCACAATTTTTCTTAGTCCGCTGAGATGACCGTGTCTTCCTCGCTTTACATGACGACGCCATGCCATCAGGTCACATAACCAATTCCTGTTTCTATGCATGCCAAAACCCGACACGATTGGTCATTATAAGAAGAAGCTCAGGATTGTCTGTGACAAATCGAATAATAAGGACGGCATTTCCGTCTGCATTGGCTGACGTCAATGCCCAGAGGAATCTTCAGGCAATGAGGATGCATTAGTATGGATAACTTGTCCGCGGAATCGAATTCGGCCTTCGGAAACTACCAATCACCAGCTGAGTCTTCTTTTAGCTGCAGAACGCTGTCAGTCGCAGGAAGAATAAAATGTTCTGCGCCGTAGAGGCCTCAAAACAGTCGCACAGTTTCAGACAATCAAACGGAGCAAATGAAGACGGATGCTAGTAAAAAGTTATGAGTTCATTAACTGACAAAATGCGTACACCTACGCCTTACGTCCTACTCATGTTCTAAAATAACAGTCAAATGCGTCATTCCTTCGAAATATGTCAACTGCAGCGTACCCAAATTTAGTTTTCAAGGGTCTGATCCGACCGCAGAGCGCTTCAGTCGTCAGTGCGACTCAGTCGGAGGTACATACTTGATAGTTGATTGTTTAAGTGCACTGTGACAGTAACGGCGCCCGGTCGACGCACAACCGTGAGCCGCCGGCTAATCCGTCCGACACCTCCCCAAAAGCTGACGGGCTCACATCCGGGAGGGACGTCTAAACACATGCGGGCCCGGCCTAGTTAGCAGTCTAGGTTTAGGTCAGCATGGTTCAGGCGGTCCCAGCAGAACTAGGCCCCACGGCCATCACCGATGTCGTTAGTGGAGCACATTTACCACAGCCGAGGTCACTAAGCACCATCCCGTCCTCCTCTGTTGGACTCTCAGACGGCCGTCCCCGCCCAGTGTGGTCTATTTCCATGCCCAATGCGGCCCCGTTTGGCGACCCACGGCCATTCAGGAACACAGGACGTTTTAGGCTCAGACGAACAGGAGAGAATAGAACTGATAAGAAGGGTTGAGACGCCTATCGGCACACCAGGCATTTTAGGCAAATCGACTGGCTCCACTTACGAGCCAGACCCGCGAGATGTTAATCATCTGCAGGTATGCAAACGCCGTCCACAACGCCTTACCGGTGACACAGTGAACAGCATCTTATCCATGACACGATGAGAAGCGCTCCGCCCGTGATACGGTGAACAGCGCCTTACCCGTGACACGATAAACAGCGCGACTTACCCGGGACACGATGAAGATCACACCTTACCCGGGACACGATGAACAGCGTCTCATCTGGCGTGACACGATGATGCGCTTTACCCGTAACATGATGAACAGCGCCTTACCCGTGACACAATTTTACAATCGCTTCACCCGTGATACAATAATAAACACCGCCTTACCCGTGACACGATGAACAGGAAAGCAGCGCCTTACCCGTGACACGATGTGAACAGCGCCTTACCCGTGACACGATGACCGACATGGCCAGCTGCTGTGAGTGGGCGGCCGTGAAGCCGAGTGCCATGACGCCCGGTAGCGCCACGTGGCCCTCGGAGCGGCCCAGGTAGTCGACGATCGACGCCATGCCGCCGGCATTGACAATGAGCTGCGCCAGCTGTGGGCAGGAACGGGATGAGGGTGGTTAATGAGGGATGGTGAAGGGGAGGCAGCCTCACTGCCAAATGGGTTTTTGGCTTCAGTGACGTTATCCCACTACCCATTTTCCCATTTAATATCCGTTACTTTTAGCCCTGTTGTGTTTTTTCACAATCGCAATAGGAGCATACACTGAGGAAGTCATGTGAAGGTAACTCTCCTCGCTAAGACATTTGACACAATATCAACGTTTGATCAACAACTACAGCAACGTTTGATATTAATTGTTTTGCATTGAAAAATGAAGTTTGGGTAGGTAAGCGGAGGCAAGATGATTGTAATTTGCACGTCGTAGTTTGTTTTTCTTGACGCAACGCAATGTTCATTGTTGATCCTCCAGATGATCAATAGATCCCATTTCTTTGAAATCGTAATGGACCCGTATCTAAGCCACCATCAAATCATCGCAGCGTCCTGGGATTGACGTCACAGCCGGACCAGTGTTCTTCTGATTTAACCCTAATTTCCGTCGGATAACGTAATTGGATCGCTTAATACCCTAATGAAACGAAGCTCGGTAACTACGCCACGAATCCGATACTCATCTGTGACCATCCGCCGCGCCCCAACGCAGCTAATTCCAACACTAATTCAGCCGGGCGCTCATAAGCGTCAGAATGTCAACCGCAGGGCTGGGTGTTCATAAGGTCCTGCCGCTCTGCTGCCTGCTGGCAGCTGCTACAACGCTTGGCTAAATCAGAATACGTCAGGGTCTAGGGGTTTGATAAAGGTAGAAGGACGGACACGGAGTGACCTATGACGCATTTGAACACTCAAAGAACAGTCCTCAGGTTTTGCATATAGGAGGTTCGTAGTGTTGACGGCGTGACGTCACAAACATAATTATTTCATTTCACTGCAGCAGTGGGCAGTTAAAGCAGTCGACATAGGCACCAACAGCCCCCAATCTGTTCAACGGCCATCATCTTTCCGTCACTCCACCCTCCGTCTCCAAAACCCTGCGCACTCCGCCGTACCACAACCAGCCTCACCTCGGGCGTGTGCTTCACAATCTCCTTGATGAGTCCGGCCGTGTTGCGTCGGATCAGGTCGTCGGCGTCTTGCAGGCCGGAGAACACGTCTGGGAAGATCTCGGCCTCGACCACCAGCTCGGCTAGCGCCAGCGTGTGCTTGGCGATGTTGGAGAGGGCAGACAAAATCTGACGCTGCCGGACAAAGCGGGGTAGGAGGAGTTGTAAGACGTCAGACGTGCGTAAAATGTGGAGGGGATTCAAGTGTTTTTATAGGATTACAGGTAATCGATTGTTTATTTTACTTGTTTCCTTAGGCTAGGTTCTTTCGGGGCCCTGAAATGAGAGGATACGAGGGAGAAGTTCGCTGACTAAGAGCACCACAGTCACTGAGTCCAACCCTTTAGAATAGAGGTGGAACAGACCGCAAGCCACTCAAACGGTTACCATATGCTCAATTTGGCCTGAACATCCTCCATCTGTGTCAAAGTGTCAGCCCGAACCAGACAGGATAATGTGAACAAGGAAACATACGGGTAGGTCCCGAGGATAAGCCGGATGATATAACCTATTTAGGGCAATATTTTTATAAGCGAGGCAGGTCTCCAAGCAAAACACAGACAGTGGGGGCATGTTTTGCGGTAATGGTTACCTATTGATAATGGTAATCGATGTAGGATTACGACCTAAGGCTGAGACGACGTCGCTGTGCCAGAATAAATACAGGGATCGTCAGACGGAAGCCAGGCCAAACAATGTATAATGAATATCATGATCGGGAATCGCATAGGTCGCGCACGGCGGATCAAACAACCACATATACAGATTCCAAGAAATCGCTCAGCAACAGCGGCTCGACATATATGTAGAGTCCTGACCGAGCCAATCCCCGCTATGAGCCCGGTTAGAGACTCAAGCCGCAGCTGCTGCCCTCAGACACTGACAAACGTGCTCTCATAAGGGGTATATTAATAGCTGGAGGCGGTTGCTGGGCCGTCTAACCCCAACGACGGCAGCTCTTCATGATTGGACCGACGGCAGCCGACGATGAAATGAAGCCCCCAGCACAAAAGAGAGCAAACACAAAGGATTGGAAGCATTTTGACGGCCTGGTGATTAATCGAACGTTTCGACGACATAGTGCGATCGATGTGAATTGTGAGCGCTGCCATGTGTTTCGGAGCACGTCACACAGCCTAATGAATGGGTCAGTCTGGTTTAGTTTAGATAGGATTTGTAACTGATAGCTAATGTACACAGAGAGGTATCTTGCTGACATTTTTCGGTAGAGGAGTGCATGAGTTTGCAAATGTTTGGTGCCTAAAGGATAGTTGTCAGTATTTGGTTTGACTTCAGCTCACTACAAATTACCATACTAGTTCAGTTACAAAGCAAGTAGCAACCATGCATCGCGGCAACGATACTTCTTTCATACACGATAAACAGCTAGACACACATAGACTGCAGTACTGAGCCGTCAAGATAGTAGTGATAAAATTTTTGAATGGGGTCATCACCTTAGCTAGACAGACCAACCATCGGGCATCGATACACCGATGCTGATTGTATAAAACTACTAACAATCACCTATCGAACAAGCTAAGTTTTTCTCCTAAACATTTTCATCTTGAGTCGGAATTTCTACCATCGAGCAAACAGGATGAGCAAACAAACACACAAGCAGACCTCGACGGACCCCGGTCCCGTCACAAACCTTGAGCTTGGTGTCTGGCGAGGAAATGAGGGCGGCGAAGTTGGAGATGGCACCGTTCTCGACCACCACGTGGGTCAGCTCCTCCGAGTGTTTGCAGATGTCACTGAGCGCTGAGGCGGCCACCCGCTTCACGCCAATCTCCGGCTCTTTGATGCAGAGGACGAGCAAAGGCACGGCGCCTGGGGAGGAAGGACGGGGTTCGGTTAGGTAGGAAGTGTCGCAATGGTGTCCGCAAAGTGCAAATTGTAGAAGTATGGAACCCCTGAGCATGCGAGAAGCTTCGGAACATATGTTTGTTTTGTACGAATATGTGTATTATGATATATCGTAACTATATTAGTCTAAAATAGCTTGAAATGAAATCTGTTGCGAAATGAGTGTGTACCTTCTTGATAAATAATGCAGAAATGAGACATTTGTAACATGATGTCTTCAAAGGGGAAGACTGTGAGCTAACTTTAAACTGTTCACAAAGCGAGCTACATTTCATTTAAAAATCACCCAATGTCGAAGAACTTTCCTTTCAGCACCAGTTTTGCATATGTTGGCATTCCAAACTAAGCCCAACTAATATATGGAAACCATTTGGCTAAACATAGAACGGCGAAACACCACATCGCAACGGCCCATTGGGGTCACATTCCCCAGACGGCCAGTGGCGCTCAGGCTGGCTCAATATATCTCTCCAGTTTTATTCCTATGGGCCCGGCCGTTTAACTGCCACCACTGGCGCCGTTCTAAAACCGTCCCGCATCCGCTCCCGGTATATGTGAATGCGGAGCGCGCGGTGGGCGGCGGAGATGGGAGACAAAACGGACTCCGAGATGCTGCTGCAAAACACCGCCCCTCTTCAGATGACTCGCAATGGCCTCCGCTGATGATTGTTCGCTGGGCTCAAACGCCCCCAGTGCAGCGCGAATGAAAATGGAATGGGGGAGAACAGACTGGGGAGATAGCTGAGTACGGACGGGGATAGAATTGATAGAATGAGATGAGAAATGGTTCATGATCTGGCCAACAGTTGACGGTAACCACTTAACCCTCGCCCGCACATGCCATTTTCCCATCCTAGAACGCACATGGGGGGGGGGGGGTTGCCACCCCCGCCCCCCGCGCCATTTCGTTCCTGCTTAGCGGTAAAGACCAAAAAGATTCTTTGGAAAGAGACAAATCCAATGATACCCAGTTTTACCTTCTCAGGTCAGTCATTGACCTTCCAGGTCAGGTCAAACTAAAAAAATGTTGCTGTTTTGGGTCACCGTTTGATATCAAGTGCGCTGCTTATCATATACCGATGACGATGCCGTTTTCTGGTGCCAAGCCAGCTAGAACCTCTTTCTCACACTACCCGACCAGGTTTTTGCTGCTGAGGTCATTTCAGGTCAAGTTAGGTCAAGGTCAATTATATGTGTTTGTATGTCTGTGTGTGTCTGTGTGTATACTGATATGTGCACCGATTGTTTATGTGTCCATATTACATGAAATCATGATCTGAGAAGCTTTTACCAAAAATGCAGTCAAAAAAATTCACAAAAAGTAAATTCCGCTTGCCTAAAACGCAATTATCTTAGATGACCTAGGTTGACCTTGACCTTGACCTTGACATCTGTACATCGTCGAACAACATGTTCCATGATAGGTGGGAGGTAAGACTGGTGAAAAAGGCCGAAATCAAGGTGTCAAAAGCTCACAAGGCCCATAGCCAACGCAAGATGTCGAGAATTGGCCATTTGGGTCATGACATGACCTGAAAAACAAGGTCATATCTCCGAAACCAAAAGTCACAGAAACTTGAAATTTTCAGTGGACATCAAGAAAGGATAGAGGAGCAGCTATACGAAAAATCAGCCTTCTAGCTCTAAAAATGTTGAGTGCAGAGCAGAAGGACTACCTGGGGGGGGGGGGGGGGCAACCCCCCCATGTGCGGGCGAGGGTTAACGATGTTGGTTGGTTCTGGCAAGCAAGGCTGTCTTCTTGACTTCAGCAAAGTTCTGTCAAGTTGACCAGAACTTTGTGTATTTATGTTCCATATCCACACAAAGGTGTTCTCAAGCGCATTCACCTCTGTTGCTGTGGGGGCAGGTAAATAACGGTACTAACAGGCTAATTATTATTACTGCTACACACACACCGTTTTATTACATTGCACAATGCTCAAGTACCGATAACTTTGTTTCGAAATTGCACGCAGTCCAACCAAGTTTTGAATGGGAGTACCTGCCGGTGCGACCGCAATTTGATTCACTTTACCAAGAACCACTGTCGCCTTACAAATTACCAGTTCATTTCGCGACTCACGACGGCCCAGTCTAAATTCCTCCGGCCACCGGAACCCGGCGACTTCCGGCTGTCTCCGGAAAGCACCGGTCGCGGGCCAAACAATAAAGCCCCAAACAAATGAACAGCAGTGGCGCTGAAATTGCAACGGTGACGGCAACGGTCCCAGCGCGCGGAGGGGGGGGGCTAGGGCCGGGGGAGGAGTCGGCGACTAGGTAAAAAGGTCGCACGTGTGCGCCGGTAGTATACCGAACCCTCTCTTGGGTTCTACCGACCGTCTAGTGGCGTCGAAAGGTCGTTTGACCCATCGGGAACGTACCGACCGTGCCTCATCCATGTAGGTCGGTCATAAATACGACTGAATGACGTCAGCAGGCACACCGACCACTGAGGAGCTGGCTATAGGAAGGTCAGATGGTATGCTGGTCCGACAGCTAAGGGAATTTGGCAGTTGGCATGTGACAGAAAAAGATCCAGTTCCTCCATGTAATGCATATCATTCCCCTGGAGTTATACATTCCACAAGCTACATTGGTCAGCATCAAGCAACAGATAAACCCAGTTACGAATATATGCAGTAACGCATACGTTTTAACATATTATACACCACATGCGGACGCACGTGACATCATCAGGCTCACGTGTCAGCCCTGCGTCTGCATCCGTCTCTGATATATGCACATATCCACCGCGCGTGGCGAATGCATCACGATAATGAGCAGATCCCGAGTCAACATCCAGGGATCAATAGCACGGTAGAGGTCATCTGAGCGGCCCCTCGGGGCGGCATCGTCTGGCTGCTCTGACCCAGAGAGCCGTAGGGGGACGGGCGCCCATCCGTCTACGCAGTCGACTGGGCGATCTGGGTCACACAGTCTGCCGTGATTGAACGGTGACGGTTCAGCAGTGTTCCGGTGGAATATACATACATAGCCGGGAGCGAGGTGGGTTGCTCACACTGCCGCGTTTGTGCCGTTGCATCGGTTTGGGCTTACCTAGGTATTGAAAAAGGTACCACGATGAGGAACCAGAACAGCAAACTGTGTGGCCAGCTTGAGAGAAAATGGCGCAGATTCTTTGCTTGCTTTTCTTTTGCTGGTTTCGGTCCCATCGCTCTAGCGAGACAATTTCAGAATCGGAAGGATGATATGAATAAGGAGGGGGGATTGATCTGGTCGGCCACTTTGCGTGCTCCGCCGGGACTGAGGCCGTCACATGGACACTGGACAGGCCGAACAGCCCCCCAAGCGGTCACCCTTCCGTACGTGAGCCTGCTCCCGAGGAGCTACTCGCGCCGGATGAAAGTCGGGTCGTCCAGCCGGGTTTGAGGCGTGGAGGAAAGGATTTGTGCGCCCTGCAGACAGATCAGAGCCCAGAGGGATTGGAGGTGTAAATTGCTATTGATCTGACCATTCGTTATGTAACGAAACTTGACTGGTTATATCGGCGACAATCTGAATCAGAAAAGCAAAAAGTTTAAACAGTTCGTTACATGACTGTCCCCGCAACTGTTCATACATTTGCACTTAACAGTTTACTTTCAAGCTATGTCGCCGAGGCTAATTCTAGTTGGAAAGGGGAGGGGAGGATGTAATTAGTAGCCCAATTGCGTGTAGATGGTGAACAGTGATTATCTTAGCTTACACAAGCCTTTGCATTGTGGACTAGTTGAAAAAAGCCAGAATAATTGTCACAGAACAGCCTATTACTGCATGGTTTCTGTGTATAAGTTGTTCATCACATGGCACTTTAGCAGGCATCCGATCTAAAGGCCTACCCTATTATAGGAAAAGCCATACATGTCCGCGTAACACCTCATAAGTTCTCCTCTAAAACCCCACCCATCTACCCAAGCCACCGGCACATAGCGGGCAGACGGGTCACCCCTATCTCTCTCAAAAACACCTCCCTGCGTCCCAGTCTCCAGACCGCTGTTTGGCCTGGACGGACCGGCTTTGACACCCCTGCCAGGATCAGCCGACTGGATTAATTCGACCTCCCAATGACGTCATCACAGTAACGATCCGTCATCAGCGAATCTGCATCCGGCAGCCACCGCGTCCGGCGGCGCGTTGCCACCGGCGCTGGAGCCAAATACTGTCAACTGCCGAGCCAGACGCAGAGGACAGGGACATGGTGACTCATGATAATGGAGGAGGGCTAATAATGATAATGGAATTGATAAGTGACTGCAGTGACTGACTAAAGTGTGTAAGTGACTTTTATCGGGTGATGATTCACTGACAGCATGTCTAATGGCTGCGGAAAAAGAAAACATTTGCGAACGACGAACGTCATATCTGAAGAAAATAGGGAGTTTATCTCGAAGCTGACGGTTCAGTCGTTGACGTCAATGCTCAGAAATCTATGAACAAGAACAAAATCGCGACCATTAACAAGAGGCCATTTATCAGCCCCCCTCGATCGCAAGCTTTGATGTCCCAGCCCCGAACGATTCCTAGCTTTGATATCTCCTTGTTTGTGAGCAGCGAACACTAATTCAACAACCGTAGAGCAGCGGTCAGCAGTGTGATGATCCCTCAGCTCATCCAAATAGATCTAACCGGAGCGTTAGCTTCACTTGGAGAGAAAGAACGAACCAATGAGATCACCTCAGACATGACACCGCCCGGGTGAGTTACACCCACCGAAGACGACTCCCCCCCCCCCTCCCCACCTCAGCCGTCGGATGCGGCCCGCGACAAATCGGTCAGCGAGAACCCCATCGTCTCCAGCATGACGTCACAGGGGGGTCTATGACGTCAGCGAGGTGGCAGTCTGCCATCGGGGACGGGAAGCCGGCGCTGTGCAAAACAGCCGGTCACGTGGTGCGGATAACGGTGAAGGAGGCGGCGAACGGGGAAGTCATGTGACTTCCACACGGTGACAGAGACGGCGGTAGATCACCAGCCACGCAGTCAGACAGTGATCTGGTCGGCCACCAGCTGTACACGTGTGAAATTGGCCCGCCGGCCAACTCTGGTGGCCCGGCAACACACTTGTCGCCGCAGGGGAGATGACGCACGAATGCTTCCGTAATGATAATGGAATAAGTCATCGTCAAAAATAGCACCGAAACGCCGTGAAGCAGAAGGAAGCTTAGCTAATAAATTTCGTGACGGGAAAGTTATACGCTTCATTCGCCTTCTTCAGAATACCTAACTTTCTTCCAATTTCTGAAATTAGTTGCCACGATCGATGGAAGCAAAACAAACCACACTGTGAGTACTGCAATTCGCAGTCAAGGGCAGCTCCAATATTCCAAAAAGGTCGCAGCATTCTAAGAACACCCCACGGGCATGATGCGGCCGGCGCCCCTATATGAGGCCTTGACCAGCGCCATATCATATGATCCTGAACGGGTCAGCGATGCCATTATGGTCGCAGCCAGGCCAATGCGGCATGATAGCCAGCGACAGATAATGGCGGCCACAGAAGCCTATACACACGGATATCATACACCCGGATACACCCGTCCATAGGCGGACGGATGGACCGAAATATAAATAGGTGGGATGGACGGACACATAGAGGCAGGACGGGACGGAAGTCTGATGATTCCCAAAGACCGGCGCGGGATCCGGCATGACTGGAAAAGGGCGCAGAGCCAAAACGAAAAGAGGAGTCGAGAAATGTATCGGGACGACACAGGACACCTTAGAAGACGGGACAAGACGAACCGGCGGACTCACTGCCGGGTATGACAGGCATGGGTTATGGCCTGGGGCAGCATTGCGCCAGTGTCAGTGTACCGATGTGACCGGAGCTCATCATACGCCATCATGGCGCCATAACCGCGCTGATATGACGCCCGGTCAACATGGGACGCTGTCCCGGGGGCGATGGAAGGGCGGGTTAGATGGGGTGGAAATGGCAGAGGTGACAGCGGCCGGAGTCGGACGCAATCGCATGACCAGACGCGCAGTAGAAAACGAGGCGAATTTTGTAGGACAGTAAAGAGGTCACTTCAGGTTCTGTGATCTCAGGTTCATATCGATTAAAAGAAGAGAGCATGGTATAATATAGATGATAGCATAAAAAACGCAAATGTGATCGAACGGCAAGCTCTACTCGTATGAGCAAGCTCCCTATCCACGTGATGCTTAATGGGATCTTTTCTAAAATAAACTCAGTTTCACAACGAATGTAGAGCTCGGCCGAGTACAAAATGATGCATCAACTGTGCATTGCAACCAACTGGTCCAATGCTGATCGCCACATGCTCTGGCAACAGCCCGACACGTGCAATGCTGGATACAATGCAAGTTTTGATTAATGAATTCAAACCTGCCAGGATGAAAATCACATAGATCGCGTTTCTCGCCCATAACGGCGCGGCGCCGGGTAGGCGTACGGTGGGCAGCCACAAGGCGGAGCGCACACTTTTACTGAATATTCTGACCAAGATTCATTCTAGCCTTCTGCCCCGGACGCTGTAGGCGAGATAAGCTGAAAGGGACACCGATGAGTAAGTGTAACAATCTGCTCGCTACAGAAAGGGATCCGTATTCAGCCCGGATTGCATCAACGGAGTTGTATTTGTATACCCAAAGTGGCATTAGAGAAGGCTATGATGGAATCTGATCTTCTATCGAGCGCGACTAGCTATGTAACATATATCCCATCCGACCTCGCATGGCTGCATTCAAAATTATATAATGTGATCAGGAGTTACGTAATAAATGACCAGCTCTCGTATACACCTTCTTACACCAAGCTGGTCGGCGATCGTATTACAATTAATGAGAAGCCCCAGACTATTCGCGGAGGACGTTCTGTCGGGGTCGGGAGCACGGCTCTAGAGTCTAGGTGCTATCACCACGCCACCTATGGTCTGAGCCTAAACCCTGGGTCAAACAGTGCCCTCTGCCCGTAGCTGTTTATCGAGACCTGTCCAATGTTCGTACTATCGTCTCGTTTCTGAGTAGGTAGCCACTTTCATCAACCAGAATCACCATCCTCGTAGTCGACGCCGGGATACAAAGCAAACCACTCATGCTAACCCCCATCTTTCCCCAGAGGTCCTTTTCTCCCAGCTTTCCTTCTCCAGCGCCACTGACCTGCAACCACCACGCTCTGAGCCAGCTCGGGGCTGTGCCGGGCCACATAGCCGATCGCCCACGCCCAGCTGCACTCCCCGCCCCCCTCCCCCCACATAACACACACCTCCCCTCTCCAGCGCCACTGACCTGCGTCCACCACGCTCTGGGCCAGTTCGGGGCTGTGCCGGGCCACATAGCCGATCGCCCACGCTGCCGACTCCTTGACGTTCGGGTCAAACTCCTCCAGACAGACGACCAGCGCGTTCAGGCCGCCGCTCTCAATCACCGTGCGAGCCAGTTCGACACTGTGCTTGGCCACCGCTCGCAGCACGAAGCAGGCCGACTTCTTGTAGAAACGCTGCCGAGCAGAACACGGTATGACGAGAGGAGGTTAAAAATGGTGGGTGAGGCGCGGATACTACACGTCCGATAATGCAGTGTTACGTGGAAAGGACACTGTTCCTCAGAATCCTATTGAAAAATGTGACAAATATATGCATTAAGTTACATAACTATCCAGGGCCTCGTTAGTCATAAAGCGAGTCAGTAACTTACGCCGGTTTTTGGGCTTGTATTGCAAGCGCATGTGAAGCGGTAAATTTATTTCCCTTCTCCCTTCTGTTCTTGCTTGCAAGATAGTAAATTCAACGATTCAACTACTATCGTCATCGCTTCACATGCACTTCCAATACAAGACCAAAACCGGCGTAAGTTACGGAATCGCTTTATGAAACAAGGCCCTGGTGTGCCGAAAAAAAAACAGTCAACGTTGAGTATTCCTATTGAGAAAATGACTTTTGGTTCCAAAATTCATATTTCTAAGGATTGCGTTGGATTGACTTGCATGACGTAGGATGGTGAAAACATTTGGAGAAGCTACAACAATCCAACGAAATATTTGGTTGCGGCATCCGATATTAATTAATGGATAAAGAACGGAACAAAGCATGCTAGCCGAATCTGAAGTACAAACAACGCAGGCATGTCTTACAATGAGTTTATAGCAGTTAAATTTATCATACAAATAAATCAAAATAACATCTTAGCGCGTCATAATCCCAGTTGCGTCAATGGCACACGAAGCAATGGTTCGTTACCACGGACAACCGTACAACACACCATTAGAGAACCTGAGACACATCCTGGTACTGAAATGAACCAAAGCTAGTCAGCTTACAGCGGACAAAAACGCGTTCCTAGAAAAAGACTTAGCCGAGCAAAGGTCACCGCTACCAAAATAAGATTCATTTTATCCTAGAAACATGGCAGCCCCGTGAGAGGATCAATTTCATACTTATCGAAACACAGCAGTTTGTTTGCCAGGCATTGTCGCTGTGCATTATAATGGGAAAATCATAGTTAACCGTAACAACATCGGCGGTTAGTTTGGGCCGGGCCACACGTATCCGAAAGCGTGGTTTCACCAGGCGGTTACATTAACCCGGCAGTTGCTGGGGTATTTCGCCACCCACCATTTGCTGGGGGGGGGGGCGTTAAACGCCCCCAGCCGATAACTCGAGAAGAGAACCAATAGGCGTAGCGAAACGCACGAGGCGGCAAACGAAAGAACGCGACGAGACGCTTCAGATGAGTACTTTAAAGTTGAATTTTGAGGTCACAGGTGGGGTCAAGGTCAGGTCAAACACCTGAAATCGGGCTTTCAGTAGCATGGACTTCAGGACTTCGCAATTGGCGCCTCTCGTCACAAACTCTGTCAAAACGGTGCACAATCCATCATATAAGGCCTACAAGAGTGTCAGCTCCATGTAAAGGTCAGTCAAGCATAGGTCAGGGTCAAGGTCAGGTCAACCGGGTAGGCAAATATCCCCGAAAATCAAAACTGATATTCGCAGCCTGTGACACATGTTTTATGGGTAATTTGAGGCGTAGAACACGATGGTGACATTCATTTTATCATATGTGTACGTGTTTGGCTCAAAAAGTTAAATTTAAAAAATGCATGTGTCATGGTGGTGAAGTAGACACGAGAAATTGCCGAGATTCAGTTCAAGATTTTGGAAAATGCGGAACGATAATCAATACTCGAAGATAGCCATTTGATTGTTCATGGTATTGGCAGTCTAATGGCGTTTACGGCATGTCTGTATGTCTATTCTGTGATTTTATATGATTTTTTGAAAATATGCCGTTTTTGGTCGAAAACTCAGAAATCATGACGACACTAAAACCTCAATATCTCAAAAAATTTTCCGATCGATTTTTTTGAAACTTTGTCACAATAAACTTCAATCAATTCTCTACAGGTACCGAAAATTTGGCGCGCCTGCGGCGCGCCGTTTTTATGCTATGGCCCGGCGAAAAAAGTTTAACGCCCCCCCCCCCCCCCCAGCAACTCGCGGGTTAATTCGTAAGCCATTCAAGTAACTAACAATTTGCTGAGTATAACCTACGATATCCGTCGGTATCCCAGTACTGTGCTAGCGATTCCTGCAGGGAGTCAAAAGCAACTCCAGCAAACAAAATATGTTCAATGCCCATCCATTGATGATACCCAGCCCAAAGAAATAAACCTCTCGTGACGTGACTCACATTTTGGACGGGCACTTGCGAGATGAGCTGCGGCAGGATGTTGCTGGTGACCAGCGTCTGCGCCAGCTGCTGGCTGAAGCTGGCCAGCTTGCCCAGCGCCAGGGCGGCCGTCTGCTGCACGGCCGGCACCACGTCCATCAGCAGGGGGTGCAGCAGCGACATGACGTTGTTGTCGTGCAGGTGCTCCATGTTCTGCGGTCGCGAGGCCAGGTCGGCCACCGTCTGCACGAACTGCAGCCGGGACTTGTTGTACTGGTCGAACGCTGCCGGGATCGGACGGACGGTTGTGTGTGGGGCGGTGTGAGGGGAGAAGGGAGGGGGCGAGGGAAACCCGAAGAAGGAAGGGAACTATAGAGTAGAAGTAGAACAGAGGAGAAATAGGACCGAAATCGGATACAAAATATAATTGTGTCCCCTCTTTGTCAAGCTTGGCAGGGTTCGATTCGATAGATACTTCGCAGCAGATGGGTAGCGACAATTAATGTAAAAACTTACCACTAAAAAGCCATCATCGGTGCTTGCTACCGTAACTCAAAGTTGATGGGTGAAGTTGCAAAAAAATGCATATGGTCCCGCTGGATTTCGTTTCCATACTGACTACTAGAGATGTCAATCGGATACCAACTTGTTGGTATACCGATACCAAACCGATACCAACTCGGTATTTGGTATTTCAATCCTAATGTGTTTGGTATTTGTTGGTATCATGGACCCTCGCTAATGCTTAACCCGGCAGTTGCTGGGGTATTTCGCCACCCACCGTTTGCTGGGGGGGGGGGGGGGGGCGTTAAACGCCCCCAGCCGATAACTCGAGAACCAATAGGCGCAGCGAAACGCACGAGGCGGCAAACGAAGGAACGCGACGAGACGCTTCAAATGAGTACTTTAAAGTTGAATTTTGAGGTCACAGGTCGGGTCAAGGTCAGGTCAAACACCTGAAATCGGGCTTTCAGTAGCATGAATTTCAGGACTTCGCAATGGGCGCCTCTCGCCATAAACTCTGTCAAAACGGTGCACAATCCACCCTATAAGGCCTACAAGAGTGTCAGCTCCATATAGGGGTCAGTCAAGCATAGGTGAGGGTCAAGGTCAGGTCAACCGGGTAGGCACATATCCCCGAAAATCAAAACTGATATTCGCAGCCTGTGACACATGTTTTATAGGTAATTTGGGGCGTAGAACACGATGGTGACATTCATTTTATCATATGTGTACGTGTTCGGCTCAAAAACTTCAATTTAAGAAATTCATGTATCATGGTCGTGAAGGGGTCACGAAAAATTGCCAAGATTCAGTTCAAGATTTTGGAAAATGCGGAATGATAATCAATAATCGAAGATAGCCATTTGATTGATCATGGTTTTGGCAGTCTAATGGCGTTTACGGCATGTCTGTATGTCTATTCTGTGATTTTATATGATTTTTTGAACATATGCCGTTTTTGGTCGAAAACTCAGAAATCATGACGTCACTAAAACCTCGATATCTCAAAAAATTTTCCGACCGATTTTTTTGAAACTTTGTCACAATAAACTTCAATCAATTCCCTACAGGTACCCAAAATTTGGCGCGCCTGCGGCGCGCCGTTTTTATGCTATGGCCCGGCGAAAAAAGTGGGGGCGTTTAACGCCCCCCCCCCCCAGCAACTCGCGGGTTAAGAGGCTAAGAAATCGGTAAAAAGTTGGTATTTTCCTCATGTTCCCAAGTTGGTTTGGTCTCGGTATTTCTCCACGGTTTTGATTGGTATTTGGTTTGGTATCGGTATTTCGATTTTCCGTAACTGACATCACTACTGACCACTGACCTTGCTCTATGAGTCGTGCCGCCATCGTTCTGGCGCGGTGACCCTCCTGCAGTTGTCACTTCAGCAGCTCCGCGCCGTTTGGCCAAACACGGCTGGTCGATGAATCCACCTCACGGCTCACAGCAGGGCTACAACAACGCATATAGTTATATATCAATGGTCTCATTGTTAACAGATTTTTATGTCAGCAATGAATGATAAGTTGAGACTTATCATATGGTAGTATTAGATAGTACCTATTAGACTTAGACATATGGTAAATTCATCGAGCAACGACACATCATGACTTATTCATGAGTATGTTCTAGACGCCAAACAGGAGCAAACTAAGCCTAAACTAAACTAGGTAAATGTCAAGTTTAAGTCCTAAGAAGATTTCATTGATAAATTTTTCATATTTTTACATTATTTGACATCCTGAATCCAAAAATGATACTCATATGTCTCGCAAATAAAAGAAAAAACATAATCAAACCTGACCTAACCTTACCTACTTACCTATAACCTACCAACCTACAACCTACAAACCTACCCTAACCTAACCTAACCTACAAACCTACCTACCTACAACCTAAAACCTACAAACCTACAACCTAACCTAACCTAAAACCTAAAATTTTTGCTGTTTCATATTTGTATCATCAGCGTCACAATTGTAGTGAGGACCTAAACTTGACAAATACCCTAAACTAAACTAAACTAAACTAAGCCTGTGCGTGAGGATACTCTAGCCCCCGCACAGGTTATCGTAATAATAGAGAAAGGATGACCTTGACCACATTATGATAGAACCCGAAAACTAAGATAGAAAAAGCAGAGAACCTTCCGATATAAGTCAACATCAGGTTAGCCCCACGGCCTCTAGCACAATAGGTACTGGACAACAAGGACTGAGACTGGACAATAACTTAGAGGCTGCATCACGCTTATCAATCACAAACACCTTAGTAAACACAAACAGGCATATCTTTATGATGCTCATAACAAGTAATAACGAAACAAAATACCTTTCGTTATTTAGCAAAATAGGAAAACAGGCCAACGCTGGAAACTTGAATTCAATCACGAAATCAAGGTATATAAAAACCATAAAAACACTCACGAAATCTTGCATGAAATCAAGCACGAAATGTTTACATTTTCTGCTCTTCAAGAGCCTTAAGTATTAGCAATGCTCATTAAAAGATGAGGTAAAACATTTAAACTTATACAAATTGTTTAAATAGCAATAAAAAACTTCTAGCATTGTGAATTCTGACCTGTTTGTATGTACAAAAATTAACATTTTTCTTTAAATGAATAAAGCTATCTGCGTATAAAAAATGCTTGTAATACTTCAAATACAACGCGACCAATACATATGTGACTGGGTTTTATAATATTTTGAAGTGAGTAATAAATGTTTTATTCTACGTCACAGAAATTTACCTTGTTGAAGCAATAAAATGTCTTTTCAAGAAAAAGTTGCAATTGGTTATGGTCACTTTGTATGAGATAATTGATTTCAAGGTGTTAAAATTAAATTAAATTTCTTAGTTGTAAGTGGTAAATGTATTTAAAGTAAAAACGATATTAAAATTTCACAAACGAATCTTCAGATTCGTCAATATGTATGACGTCATAAAAAATAATATGAATGTGCACATTCTAATCCACAGAAATAAATTTGTAAAACCATTTTAAAACAAATGCATTACAAAACAACTTATTTCTTCACCATCACCGGCGTCCAAAACAACAACGTTATAAATTCAAATCTGTGTTTATTCAGGGCAGATTGCGTTATTTATTTTTGCTTTCTATTATAAGATTCATTGTAATCTTATTCAGGTTCATTGTAAGCTTGGCTGTTGCTTTGTGTTGTCACACATTCTAAGTGATTCTAAGTGGTTATCCTAATTGTTTCTCCGATTGGTTAAGTTGAAGTACCTACACCTAAAGCAGGCAAGTTGAAGTGCTGGTCCACGACCCATGGTATTAAAGAACCTACATTTGCTCATTTTATTAGAGTTGCTGTAGATTTTATTGAAGTCCTCAGTTTTTTAAAATAGATATTCTCAAAAAACCTGACCGCTGACTGCGCGTGGAGTCGCCTCTAACCCCTGCACGGCGTGGTTAAATGGAGGTATTTACTGATCTCTCAATTTACAGGTTCAACCATGTTATCTGCCAGAGTTGCAATGGTTCAGGTCCTCCGCTCCCTCTCCTCTGTAAGTACTTCACTGTTTTGTATAGGCTTTTATGATTTAAATATAAATCCTGCCCAATGGATGTTAATAAGGTACCACAAAAATTAGGTATTTCAACTTAGCTGTGAAGGCTTTCACAGAAAAGCCTAGGCTCTTCTTAAAGATTCTTTTTATGTGTGGCTACTCGCCACTCGCGGATTTGACACAGGGGATGCCACGTCCCATGTGTTCTGTGTTTAATTTGTCATTCAACACCTTGTCTGGAAGTTATTTCCTATTTGGCATTCATGTAATGTGTGTGTGTAACCAATAATGTAATGTAATACTTTTTTTGTTTTATAAAGCGTTGCTCCAGCCAATTTCTTTTTAGTTGAGAAAATATCTATGTACGTGTATTTTTTCACTATATTGGGGAAATTGTTGTTCACTGGTTAGCATTATAATTTTATATTCCTTAATGATGTTCACAATGCAACATTGATATGCAGCAGGAAATTACTATATATTCTAAACCATTTCCTACCCTCAAATAGTTAATTGTTATGTTTTAGAGCACTCCTGCTGCTTGTAAATTCCGTCTTCCGGAAGAGGCAAAACAGGAATTCAGTAATCCGGCTGCCAAGTACACCACTGCTCAAGATATTCCGGAGAAGGGGAAAATCTATGATAAGAAACCATTTATGATTGAAGTGAAGAAGGGAAAAACGTACATGTGGTGTGCCTGTGGGCATAGCCGAAAACAGGTGAGTAATTCACATCGTGGGTCATGCGGTCATATATTTTGTTGTGAGAGCTTTGAATTGCTCATTGCCTAGTGATCCTGCATGCACAAATCAACAGATTTTTTGGTTCACAAGTCATAGATATGATTTATTGCTAAGTGGTTTGTGGTCATTGAGTTGTTTTGTTTGTTTGTTTTTACCTTATTACATGCCTTGGCATCTCGCTCGCTCATACCAAGGCCGAGGCATATACACCTTTTTGCACTCAAAATAGGCATCTTTTCATTCAATTTCGGCGAATTGCACTCAATTTTAGCGATCTCTCATTTGCTTCGAATAGAGAGATCGCTAAAATTGAATGCAATTCGCCGAAATTGAATGAAAAGATGCCTATTTTGAGTCCAAAAAGGTGTATTTATTCCTACGCATGTTAAGCCGTTGAAGCGATACAAATTAAGACTGTGTGCGAAATTTCAGTGGACGTTTTGCATAAGAACCTGAATAGCATGTATTCAGTGTCGGTCGGCTGTCCCTCGGGGCTCGGATGTCTCAGTACGGCTGATATCAATTGTCCCGATATCAGAGGACAGGCGGGTCTGTTTGTCCTGCTGTCGAGGCCCATTAGCTGTCGGGTGGTTCTGGTCGCACGACATTATCGGGTGGCGGTATTGTGCGTGACTTCCGGGCATTGAATGAAGTGGTATTGTACCGTGAAACGTGCACATCTGAAAGGATGTTCAAAGGTATTCATTTTGCGTGTTTTCCTTTGCAAGTGAAATCGGTTGCTTCAGACGTCGTGAATGCAACTTGTTCATTTCAACAGTAGTAAACTATTTGCATTGGAGCTCTTGTATTGCATTCCAAAGGTAATTTTTAGATGACTTTTTTCGTCGCATTATTTCAAAATATGGTATCAGGGCAGATATCACATCGCCTGGCTCTGCTGCCCCTGTCCTGTAGCCCAGGCGTCCATCCCGACTCCCATCTCCACCAGCCATGAGGCGTATGCAGCTCTACCTCCCTGCACCACACACCCGCCTTCCCGGGGCTATGATGACCAGCCGCGCCGGCCCCCAAAACTGCCCAGTCACTGTGTGACCTTGCAACTCGCGTTCCCAGCCCCTGTGCGACGGCAGTCACCGCAACCCATTCAAGGCCATCCAACAACGACCGGTGAAATACGTGGCGGATGCCGACAAGGAGGTATGGTTCTGTATGTGCAAGCAGACCGACCACCGGCCCTTCTGTGACGGCTCGCACAAGCATCCCGACGTCCAGGCCGCGGTCAGGGGCCACTGAGACGTCCAGTGTCCCATGCTGGTGCCCCGGGGCTGATGGAGTTGTTGGGGTAGTGTCTGTCCTAGAGCTGAGTATGGTGAGGAGTGGTTGGTATATGCTTCAGGAGAAGCCTGACAGTGGGAACTTGATAGCAGGAGGGTGAGTGCTGATGTGAAAGCTAGATACATAGGTGCCAATGGGGAGTTACTGCCGGGAAAGTGTTGAAATGAATGAGACATGGATGAAATCGTGGTGTGATTGTGCTGTTTTGATACGATTTTAGATCCGATATCGTGATGGATGTACGATCAAGGGGGGGGGAGGGGAAGGAACGCGGGACGAAGTACGGTGAAAAGTGATAGATATAATGAATGTCGGGGAGGTGTATTATCTGTCATTCTATTACCAGTATTGACTCTCTACATCGTAGATCGTCTCAATCGTTAGTGTCACTGTGTGCCCATTGCATAGGTATGCATCTTCCGAAATCAATATACCGTCAGCTGTCAAACACCATGTCTTGGGATTAGAATTGAGCATAATGTGATGGGGTGGCGAGTGGGAAAGCGGGTCTTCTTTGCGGTTAGTGATACTTTTTCGGTTCTCAGAGACGGTTGTAGATCTGTAAAACTTTGAAACGATGAACGGAATGAAGAGGGCACGTTTCCATCGCATACCTACCTATTCCCGACCATCTGAATGTCTCGACTGTTTAAACTTAACTTAATGTTATTCGCAGCTATTTTATCTCAGTCTAGTGATCGATTCTCAATTTAATATGCGATGCCTTTTACGCCCTTAGATAATATATTATCTGGTTTACGTAACAACACTATTAAAATAAAAATGCAACTGATCACTCACGGCACATTTTCGACAATGACAATATCATCAATACTGAATGATGCGGACCCGACTGTGCGGGTGTGGCGTGGCTGTGGCTCTGATGAACAGAGCGAAGCCCGCCCAGCATTTCATAGCCAACAATCATCCACATTTTACATTACATCTGCACATTTCCACATCATATGCGTTATTCTGTAGGGACATGCACAAGCAATGTGGTCGATGCATAACGTATAGCATATTGTGTACCACGTTACGACACGTCCTTCACTTTGTCATAGTAGTATGCAGTCAAAGCTCCGTTTTATCTGCCGATTCCATCTGCACTTCTGGCGTAACAAGAGTACAGCCATACGACCTGCTCGACTCCCTATTTCCACTCAAAATAACGGTTTGGGGCATCGCTTTCGAGATATGCGGGGAAGCATGAAGACTCATGATCAGTCTTGTAGATCATACAGCGGTAGATCATGCATCTGTGCGGCGGTCTTGTAGCTCATGCAGCGACCAGTCTTGTCATCCCAGTTTTGAAGCCCACGGCGGGCCCACAGACTGTGGGAGTCAACCGCTCTCGGTCCGGCTCATGCCCATCGCATTCAAAGCCACGTCTGGGATGCTTCTCCGTGCAGTGTCGGCCCGCGAAGCTCGATACGGCTGCGCGTACTCGGCCTCATCTGCAACCGGCGCGACACTTATCGGCAGCGTAACGAAGCTGTGGTTCAGCTGTCGGCCGTCCGGCTGTTTGCCACCTACCAGAGGGACGGCGTATTCCAATGTCGGAGGACGGGAGAGCTCGGGTACGGCTGGGAACGATCGGGATGGATCTGAAATAGGTGGACCAGTAGCGCTGCTCGATTCCCCTGAGGGCATCTGAGGATCTACGGGGAAAGGCTCGTAGTCGGGATCCTCCTTTGCAGGTGGCGCTGATGTTCCGGCGGCCGTCGTGCTTCGGCCGGTCGTCAGGAAACCTCCAGTGGGAGCGGGCGCTGTTTCCATGGGGAACACCTCGTAGTCGAGGTCGTCGGTGGACGGTGCGTCGGCGGCGTCGGTGAGTGAGCCCACGCTGGGCCGGCTGGCCGGCAGCGGAGGGGGAGGAGGGGGCTCCGGAGACGGCTGTTTGACGGGGGCCGTGTACGAGCATTCCTCGTATATGGCGTCTGGGTTGCTGACTTCGCTGTGGAACAAAGACAGATCATAACTCTATTTGAAAAGTCGCAAAGGTTTTATGCTCGTGCGGTAAGCATCAAACAGCTCAGTTATAGGGGAAGGAGGGTGAATTGCGCCACCTTAAGGAAAAACGCTAATTGTAAGAAAACCGCTGGAGATATAAGCATGCACTGGTGACCATTTCAAAGAGGAACTCATTGGCTACGATTTAAGAACCTCCCGATTGATTAAGAATGTTTCATTTGCTTCTGACAGCTGCTTTTTCAGAAACACGTAAAAGGGCGCATTTGCCAACAACTGCTGTAAATTGCGCCAGGGGGATGGCGCAATTAGAACCCAATTGCGCCCTATACTTTAACATGGCTAAGCGAATGAGACGGAATGCATACACCCCGGCAGTCTAATGTCATTGCGGCTTACTTAAACATTCATAATGTTATTCACGCTGGCTAAATAATAAATGTAGGTGTAAATCGCGATGTTTTTTTTTTGCCCAGGTAGATAACTTTACATGTGTTCGTACGCTTGTAAAAGTGCAACGAAAACGTTTACTGTAACCGACTAGATATATGTGAACGTATGCGCCTATACGGTTACATTTTCAATCGTTTCTCTCAAAATTAATAATTTTCATTGTTTCGACAGCTTTATGACATCAGTTTTTACTTTTTTATCATAGCTGTCACCTCCCACGCCTGAGTCCATGTTGAAAATGTTGTATTTTGTCAATTACACCACAAGTTCGTAGCCTAAGTGGCAGCTGCATTATAAGTTTGACGAGAGAAATAATTTGCGGACTGACGACAGCGGGTTGCTCCCCTGCCTGACATTAAACTCCTTCTTTATTGCAATCAGTTAATGATGCATTCATGCTGTCTTGATACAATAGCTACACCATTATTCTATTTGCGCCCCCCTGGCGCAATTGCCACGGGCGCAATTAAAATTGAGGTACTTTTTAATAAAAGCGTGGAAGTTATCATAAAGATGTTGAAGGAAGTTAACTGTTTTAGTGAAATATAATGAAAAAAGGGATTTTCTTTCTAAATATCACTCTGAAAATCACACAAATATCACACATTTTTATAGCCAACGGTTCAAAATACTGCAAAAAAGTTAAGAAAACGCCGTAACATCTTTGATGGCGTAATGAGCCTTGCTGATTGGCTTCATAGGGGAGCTTGGGCCATAAAAGGAACTATCCAGTGGGGAAAATAATGTTTTCGAACACAAAATTCAAAACATGCCATTGAATCCGTGGGAATGTTGGTGGGCGCGATTGGTTAGGAGGGCGCAATACACCCACTTTCCCCTAAAGAAGACACGGCATTCATTTCTACTTCTAGAATACCGTAAAGTGGGGCTATTTGAGACAGTGGGGCTATTTGAGACAGTAAGGTAATGGTATAGTAAAATCGCTGTAAAATGAAAACCGTTTGACGTTTTTTCGTCATTTTTTCTTAGGCTAATGTGGAATTGAACAGTGAATGCTCTGAATAACCTTTTTGAAAATTTCGAAAAGTTCTGAAAGAAATTTGCAATGAAATACGAAAAACAGAAAAACGCACAATTTAAGTTGCTCGAAAAGGACCCCTACCTGCAGCTTAAAAAAGTGGAAGTTTTAACAGCTTCGCCACTGTATCTATCGTTACTACTTTTTGCTTATAGGCTAAGCACAATTTTCATGAAAATATTATATATTGTTAGCGGTACTGCCGATTGCGTAACCCATTGTCTCAGAATCCCGATGATGCCCACCTGGTCAAACCTCAACGGATATGCCAAATAGCTGATGATAACGGTGATGCGATGCACCCGAGATTCGAGAAGATTTCCGCCACCTACCTGAAGTACATCGAACGTTCGACATAAGCAACACCGGTGAATCGGTCGTGGTCATAAACGTGCAGTGGGTTCATGGTAGGTACTATTAGCAGCAAGCAATATCTACATGTTCGTAGTGTAACATAATAACCCTTTAGCTGGTGACCAAACTAGTTATTCTGATGAATATGTGCTTAAAATGTGCTTCATCAGTCACTGACTCAGTCGACAATCAACATATGCCTACCTTGGTTGACCAAAAAACACCATTGAATGTTACTTAACACTTTAGCGTACTGTTAGGTGAGCCTATCCAAGTACCTACTTGATGTGGGAGGGTAACCGGCCAATTGATACAGCATGCAGCGATCGAGGAAAATTGGCATAAAATCAAAACCGTTTAACATTTTTCTGTTATTTCTTCGCATGGAGATGTACAATGGAACAAACAATCATACAGACCATTCACTCAAATGTTTTGGGAAACCTTTTGCCTTGTTTGATTCATTACAGTGTGCTTCATAAGGTAGCGAGACTGTCTCAAATAGCCCCACCGACTTTCGGTATATCTGTTTTCACGTCACCGGGGCTATATATAAAAACTTACTTTCAAAATTTTACTGTCGATGACTTTAAAATAGTCCTTGATGATCATCCTGTCAGTTTGAAAGCTATGGGTCACATCATATTATGATAGCCTTAGCATATACCTAATGATGCAATTGTATACCCTACCGAAATGAAGTGTCCTACGAAAAAGGAAAAGATTGAATATAAAGGTCATATAACAGTCTTTGAAGAAACAATTTTTGCCAAAATGATCAAAATTCAATTTCCAAATGCATGGCGTTTAAAAAATTATATCTAGCGTGACCAATTTTCTTTAATTTCTTTGCAACTAAAACTGTCTCAAATAGCCCCACCCTATGGGGCTATTTGAGACAGGCTTTAATATAAAAAATAACCTTAATCATTATTACTATATGAACCAAAATGCACCTATATGAAAGAGCTCACAGAGAACTACATTTTTGCAATTTACATGCTATAAGAAATATGAACCGCCTTAACCCTCGCCCGCACATGCCATTTTCCCATCCTAGAACGCACATGGGGGGGGGTGGTTGCCACCCCCCCCCCCGCGCCATTTCGTTCCTGTTGGAGATAGAGCTTAGCAGTAAGACCAAAAAGATTCTTTGGGAAGAGACGAATCCAATGATACCCAGTTTTACCTTCTCAGGTCAGTCATTGACCTTCCAGGTCAGGTCAAACTAAAAAATGTTGCTGTTTTGGGTCACCGTTGGATATCAAGTGCGCTGCTTATCAAATACCGATGACGATGCTGTTTTCTGGTGCCAAGCCAGCTAGAACCTCTTTTTCACACTATCCGACCAGAATTTTGCTGCTGAGGTCATTTCAGGTCAAGTTAGGTCAAGGTCAATTATATGTGTTTGTATGTCTGTGTGTGTCTGTGTGTATACTGATGTGTGCACCGATTGTTTTTGGGTCCATATCACATGAAATCATGATCTGAGAAGCTTTTACAAAAAATGCAGTCAAAAAACTTCACAAAAAGTAAATTCAGCTTGCCTAAAACGTAATTATCTTAGATGACCTAGGTTGACCTTGACCCTGACCTTGACCCCTGTACATCGTCGAACAACATGTTCCATGATAGGTGGGAGGTAAGACTGGCAAAAAAGGCCGAAATCAGGGTGTCAAAAGCTCACAAGGCCCATGGCAAACGCAAGATGTTGAGAATTGGCCATTTGGGTCATGACATGACCTGAAAAACAAGGTCATATCTCCGAAACCAAAAATCACAGAAACTCGAAATTTTCAGTGGACATCAAGAAAGGATAGACGAGCAGCTATACGAAAAATCAGCCTTCTAGCTCTAAAAATGTTGAGTGCAGAGCAGAAAGACTGCCTGGGGGGGGGGGGTGGCAACCACCCCCCCCCCCCCATGTGCGGGCGAGGGTTAAAGGGAGAGGCGAAAAACTGTAAAATCCGTTTCAAATAGCCCCACTTTACGGTACGACAGGTTTGCAGCATACACACTCACGATGCCTATTTATAAAGCGGCTTTAGAAAATACCTAGGCACCTCAGTATCACCCCTCTCCCCGGTGAGCTCACCTATACAGATGCTCGTCCTCGTGCTGGGACCCGCCGTAGATGGGGTTCGGGTTGAGTCCGAGGAACTCCGAGCTGTCGTCCACGGGTGGCACAAACTGTTTGTGCCGGCGGCGCTGGCGCCGGCCGTTCCTGCCTCGGATGACGCCGAGTGCCGTCAGCGCTAACACGATGACGCCCCCGACAGCACCGCCCAGGATGGCGCTCAGGTGGCCCCCAGGCGCTGTAGCGGGAGGCCGGGGCTGTTGGTACCGTGCTGACCCACCTCACGAGGCGTTGTCAGATACAGGTACCTACAATTTACTTGCCATTTTATGCGTTATAAGTTATTTGCTAATTTATCCGTTATACGTTGCCTGGTGCGTAGTTTTTTTCAGTTGTGACATGGCTCTGGGAACTCCTGGAATCTCCATAAGCTTTAAACCAGCATGATTGGGTGGGTAATTGCCCTCTTGGCAAGATTGTACAACATGCACATTTCCAACTCTAACTAGGAAGATAAAGGCTGACTGGTCGAACTAAACGGCAGACGCCTCCCTCGCCCCCATCCCGTATCGTTACGTTTCTGCGTGGGCGGCCGGGCGCTGCCGGTCACCGTCCTTCGACAGAAGTTGGGTCGGGTCCAGTCGGGAGCCAAACAGCGGATCTGACCGGTCCGGTTGGGGTCAGCGCAGGTCACGTTGACTGTGTCGTCCCTCAAGAAGGCGCTGTTTCCCTCCGGAGGTGTGTAGTGGAGACCAGCTAGTCGAGGAAATCGGCCGCACAGCCGCGGCGCTGTCGAAAGGGGTGGAACATTTGTTAAAACTGGAGGAAGGTGATCTTATGGAAAATATTACCTCTTTTGGATCATAGAAGGTCGGTGATAGTATGTACACTGAGTCGGAGCTGATAAAACCTGACTTCCTGTTTCTAAATGGTGTATCGCTTCCCTGACAAAACGCATGGAGGCTGCACTGTGCCGCATTACATGGTGCTTTCCGGCACAGCATACCTATCCATCCAAATCGCTCAGCGATGACTTCAGCCAACATTACATAGCTGTCAGCTGAAGATGAGCAGGCGCAATTGTGATATGCGTCGAGGCTATCATTGGGAGAGTGCCAAATTGACTGTTATCTACCTCTGCAAAAAAAAATCTACAGAAGATCTTCGGCTGGGTGAGGTGTTTGACTTTTCGACGCCTCACCATGGCAGATGTGGCCACTTCGTTCAACCGACTCGCGTCTCTCGCAGATGTATGCTCAGCTCTAGCCTCTAGTCTCACCTCTTTGGCAGATATACGGGTGCCGTTCATCACAGTCGCCGTAGGTGAAGTTTCGGTCCTTCGGCGATAGCAGTCGGCACCGGGGACCCTTAGTATCACCGGACGCGGCCGGGTCTGTAAATATGTGCCGACGTCACAATTCCAGATTATATTTTTTAGACGGTGAAGAGGTCGTTATATTCTGGATGGGTATTATCCGAGCATTGCATGATCTTTGTCATTGTTTCATTGATGACTATCTTTTCGCGAACCCGGATGAGGAGCGCTAGTCGCAGTTATTGGTTACATGAGAGAATATGTAGCCTGTCCCGTAGCTCAGTTGGTAGAGCAATGGACTCCCGATAGTGAGAGCCCGGGTTCGAGACGCTCCGGCGCTCGATATTTGAGACTCCTGACGGGGATGGTCTGCGGTTGGTGGGAGCAGCCGCAGCCAGTTAAAGTCAGTTGAGTGGGACAGGCCGTGTCCGGCTTTGAAGGGCACGTTAACTTTGGCATCTAAATTCTCCCGTTACCCGGAATTGCGCGATCGGACGGTAGGGGTCGGTGTTTAGGGGAGAGTGGGGTGGGGCACATTCGTGCATGGGGCACATTCGTTTTCAGCAGTTTATGGGAACACGAGTGACTGCACGAGCTCAAGGTAAATTATGGAAATATGTCTATCATTGCCGCCCTTCGTTCACCGTAGAAGACAACACTGTACCTGCTGTCATGCTTGATAAAAACGCAAATTTGTAATATTCGTGAGCTTTCCAAACTTTTCTCATATCATCCATTTTTGTGATCCTGACTCGGAAATGTGGTTCAGCTTTTCAAAATTGGGGGTGAAGAAGCTCACTCTATTCACGGAACTGCTGCAAACTTGTTTGTTGAAAAAGTGTCATTTTTTCAAAAAGAAATTTTGAAATATATTACTAATAACGTTGTGGGGCAGGTTCGTGTACGCACTGCCTGGGGGCACATTCGTGCATATTTTTTTTTTTTAGTTTTTGCGATTTATGACTTTATCTGTAGTAGGTTTCTCTAATGACGCTCGCCTGACTCAGTCTCGACTGCTTGCGACGTCGTGACGAGCAATTCACGCGAACTTGGCGAGGTCACGGCTGCCGGCAGTTGGCACATTCTTGTTGGCCAGCCCATTCTTTCTACATTTGTTGTGCAATGCATTCTTGTCGAAAGGAATCAAGTGAAATGACCCCCTGCCAATTTCCTTTGGTAAATTTCTGGTAATACCCGGTAATTTCTCGAATTTTGCCGGGTGAACGGAAGTGCCCCATCTCTTGAACGAATGTGCCCCATAGGTGGGGCAGTTTCGTGCAAATGTTCAGAGTTAATAAAAGTCATTTTTCTAATGGAAGCAATAATTTTATAGGATAACTTTTAAAGAGGAAAACTATCTGCAATAGTTCCTTTCCATACTACAATCAACAGTTTTGCCATTGCACTAACCAAAGAACAGATATATGGGTTTATCCATTTTTTGCACGAATGTGCCCCACTCTCCCCTACGCAACAAGCTCTGCTTAGCGTGGGCTCCGGCTCTGTCAATCCGTCCATTCAAACATTCGAGCTAAATTTATTAAAAAAAAAAAATGTAGGGAGCAGAACTTTAGGATAGAGAATTTCGAAGTCTCTCACCTTCGCTGTCTTGCTCCTCCATTCCTTGCACCCAGACGTGTGTCTTGGACCGCGTTTGTAGTCGGAACACCCCCTCCACGTTCAGCATGTCTAAGGCCAGATCTAGCCCAGCGACTGGCTCATAAAGCGTCCCTTCGGTGCCCAGGCGCTGACAGCCTTTCTCGGCGTGGAGCCGTTTATCCGGCTGTGTTATCAGATGGTAGCATCGGCCGTCGACGGCCCAGGTGTTTCTCTGCATAGGAGTCACTGAGCTGCCCACCTCATCAAGACACTGGCGCCAGGACAGGTCTGAGGGGAGGTGATGGCACGGTGTTACGTCCGACGTCTCGTGGTATACCGGAGTCAATTTCGTGATGACTTAATAAGTGTACATTCATTAATGTGCTATTTTATACATTTTGGTGTCCGTTTGAATCGAATTTCGCTATCCAATCCTATTAAAGGGACTATCCCACCTTTAACATGGGGTTTGAGTTGAGATAGCCAAGTTTGCGGCGAGGTTCAGAAACCACTATCTATCTAGGTTGCAACCCCCGCGGCCTCTTGGTGTTGAAGAAATTCGTTCCCTTCATTTGAAAATGGGCCTTGTACAAGGCCCTATCTTCAACATGGAGCGACCGTTAGTGTGACGTCACCTCGTTTAGTCATTCTGATTTAAATGGGGTTGTTCGTTGAAAAATCGCTTAAAACTTGGTCTGAACTTTGTTGTGGTGCCTACAGAGTAAAAAGAATCAGCTTTATGACAGTAATGTGGCCTGGGGAAGGAGGTAATTTTGGGCTGTGACGTCACATATTTGAAAGTTTGTGTTTGGAATATGGGAAGCCTAAGATGTGTAATGAAAAATAAATGCCAGAACCGTATTCCTGGTCATCCAATCTATAAAGTCGGGCACAATTTAACTGGTTTTAACAACATTTTAGAAGGTGGGATAGTCCCTTTAATTCCTATTTTAGGCTATCTTAATTGCAAGCTGCTTAACTTAATGACTGCCCGTTTTAATTAGCGTGGTTAAAAAGGCATGTGGTTCTATCATGTACCTATACCTACCATTGCCACAATATTCGGAGTTTAAATGCGTTTAGTTAAAAACTAAGAAGGCAGAGGTCCGTACTCCGTAGTACAATAATACATGCCAAGAGTGATGACTTTTGATACTTGCCTGTGGTGGCGGCGACAATCTGTATTTCGTATATCTTCTGCCCTGTGTAGCTCGTCCATTTGGGCAGCGATATTTGGAGGGCATCCGCCTCAGGAGATTTGCCTTCGATGTCTTCAAACGCTATGTACTCCGGTGGATGGCCGTCACCAGACTGACGTCTTGAGGGTCCTAACAAAAGGATGATGTTTTATTTTTGCGCGTAGGAGTCGCGGTCACTACATGTAGTTGGCGGCTAATGGGCTAAGTATGATGTTATAAAAGCATGATAATACCAGTATAACGCCTTTTGGGGCGACTAACGGAGCGAGCGAGAGGGTGAGCCTTGCACGTGCGAAATTTCGACGAGGTACCTCCAGCTGACTTGTGCACGGCACCCTACTAACCGGTCTCTAGCGATGTGCCAAATTTGAGCACAATCGGCCCAGCCGTTCTCGAGATCTGGAAGCGGCACCCTGCACGTGCGCACGTGCAAAATGGGTCCCAACTGAGTTTTGCACGGCACCCTACTAACCGGTCCCTAACCATGTGCCAAATTTGAGCGCCATCGGTCCAGCCGTTCTCGAGATCTGGAATCGACCCCTGCACGTGCGCACGTGCAGCAGCGCCCCAATTCTGGCACATGGATATGCATTGCCTAGTGGGTGCCTACCTACATGCCAACTTTCAGCGCAATCGGCCAAGTAGTTACCGAGATATTGCAACAATTACAAAAGTGACACCTCTTCGTTTTGCACGTGGCACGTGCATAAGGGGTCACCCACATGCATCGGCAATAGTCCAATACTTGGTAGAAGGAATGAAGCTACCCTTCAAAAATTACCGCATGTAAATCGGTCAAGTGGTTGCTGAGATATAAGCCTCGCAAAAGCGTGACCACGGCCGGCCGGCCGGCCGGCCGGCCGCTCATACTCAGAAATTTCCGTTAATCTAAGGAAAGACTACGCTCGCTTCGCTCGCTCCGTAATCAACCATTTTTTCGATAAGATAGATGTACCTAAATAACTACAAAGTAATGGCAAATTGAACTGGAAACTGCATGTCAGTAGCCGCTCTCGTGTTAATAAAGGGGAACCTCTATTGCCATTGCAATTGCGATTCTAACAAATCAAACATTTATTGTACTTAGCTTTTGAAACATCAATTTTTGAAAGAAAACATGAGCTTTTCGTACTTACGAAGTTCCGCGGTAGTTCCAATGACCATTGCGCCATTCTTCATTAGATATATTGTCATATTGCTTCCTGGAAATGAGATTGCATTGGTGATAGGCTAAATGGAAATAGGAACATCCGCACAACATTAGTATTGCTTGCTGACAAATATATTACACAGCATACCTAATTAATAAATTCCATACAAGCATATTTATTTCAGTTACTTAGGTACTTTACCTGTAATAGCCTCATCAGCGATAAAAATGACTTGTACAACCTTGGTCGAAAAGTAAAGGTTAATGTGCAGGGAGCCGCCTTCTTTTTGAAACAGATTCCTCAGGAACTGATCCGTTGTTTTGTCTCCATCGGCCAGGCTGGTGTGTTTTACCGACAGACTTGAACGCTCGGCCACATTCAGATCTAAAGCAAAAAAGGGAATTATCTTGTTACAGAGTTGCATTGGTCAGGTGCCGCTTAACCTTAGCAATGGAGGGAAATACCTAGCGTAAAGATGCAGCTTAATGTTTATCATTACCTTTTGTTTCGAATACCAGTTATTAAGCAGGCATATTTGTTAATACCCCGCTTCCCATTCACCCATGGCTCTTGAGTTCGATAGATTTTCTCGTTGTACTCACAGCAGTGGGGTGCTGTTTCCGTCCATCGGCCCTCCCGGCACACCCGCGCCGACTTGCCGACAAGAACGTAGCCAGGGTCGCACAGGTATCTGACCTCAGTGCCCTCGGGGTACACACCGCTGCGGCATAAAGCACAGGTATCTGACCTCAGTGCCCTCGGGGTGCACACCGCTGCGGCATAAAGTTGGCGTCACCGTCACCGGAATACAGATGGCTAGTGAGACACTTATATTATTATTTTGTAGCTATTTGCTTTCTATGCAAATGTAGCAAGAAATTCTACATCGGAATTATTCCAAAAAGGTTTATGAGAAAGAGCAAGTAAATAAACAAATTAACCACAAACAAATCCCGTTTTCTAGTGGTAGGTAATCTGACCTCGGAATTGCGATTGTTTAGGTAAAGTGTGAACATTTGAATGACGCATAGACATGTGCCGCATAAACCGTCAACTTCAGCGATTCCTACTGTTTTCTTGTCACTTTCATGCATGTTTTCATTATATGTCAAGCGACTCTTGAAACTATGTTTAGTTACTTTTCGGATGATTCTCTGGGATAATAATATCATGGTGGCTAACTCACAAGTCCATATATTTCGGATGATGTTGCTCACCCTTGGTCACTGGACAAAATAAAAACAATTACCTAATTGTTTTTGTCAATTACCTAATTGGCAAAAGTCAATTATTCAAAATAATTTATATTAGGACCAAAACGCGTTTCGATAATATCGTCATCAGTTGGTCCTAAATGGACCACCTGATGACGATATTATCGAAACGCGTTTTGGTCCTAATATAAATTATTTTGAATAATTGACTTTTGCCATATATGTCACTATGAGCTTAAACAATTACCTAATTGTTTGGGTAATTGTTTTTATTTTGTCCAGTGACCAAGGGTGAGCAACATCATCCGAAATATATGGACTTGTGAGTTAGATATTATTATCCCAGAGAATCATCCGAAAAGTAACTATACATAGCTAATTTCCTGGGAAAAATGACTTTAAAACGACTCTTGAAACGATTTTCTACATATATACCTACTCTGCTTGAAACGTAATGTTTGTTATATGTTCCTTCTTTCCAGCATTTCCCTTTTATCCCACAGCTTAAATACACTTATATTATTATTTTGTAGCATTCTTGTAATACTTACCTGGCCTGGGTTGTGTTTGCATCGTTAAACACTGTCCCGGTCTTGTCTGTGGCGAAAAACACTCTGGACAAGAATTTGGCGCCTGGTGATTGGCATCCTTGTTTTGCTGAAAATAATACACAGGCAATTACATTGTCTAGATGGGCTTGCACTTGTACGTTGGCGGCACTAGATTTTTCCACTATTTTCCCATGTTGCTTGAAAAAAAAATCCCAGTACTTGTCGATATTCCATGACAGATTTGATAATGATGCAAATAATAAACCAATTATTACAAATCAAATATGCCTATTCCTACACACTTGAATATATTCTATTTGTAATGATTAGTTTATAATTTACATCGTTATTTATAATTATACATCTTAATTTACTTCTTTATCAAATCCCAGTATATCGATCGCAAAGTAAATTAGATGAGCTTTGTCGAATACCTAATATTCGCATACCTACTATTCCAGTTTGACCCGTTTCTTATTACTCAAAATATCACATACCTGACTCGGCCGACTCCAGGTTTAGCCAGAAAGCTAATGTCGCTACAGCCACAACTGTGACCGACACGTGTGGCATCACCTAATGATCACTGAATGTCCTGAATGTCACACACCTAATGTCCTCCTAATGATCACTGAAGCTGAGATGTCTTCGACTTCTTCAGGCTTCACCGTCTCACTGTCTTCCTTAGTCCGGTCCGCTATCCCGGTCCGATACTTTCACGTGGACCTCCTGCCAGCTCCTTGCTGCAGTGTATGTTCCCGCTCTGGTCCCTAGCTCTGTCCCGTGGAACTGACATTCGACTGATGCCACCACCGGCTCCGCGATAGTGGCTTCCTCCCTGGCTGCGACAGACCGGAAACCGCGGATCCACAGCCAGTTTTGACCCCCGATACCGACAGTGGACGGCTATAAGACAGTCTTCGCCGTTTACAGATCAGCGGGAAATGTGCAGTGGGTGATTATTATGGACATCGTTTATAAGCTATACCTGTGAGCACTGAGCAGTGTTCTTAGGTAGCCGTTTATACTCATGTGATTCTCAGTTTTCGAAATGATTCTTCAGGTATGCTGATTGGTGTTGCAGAAATGGCATGATATCTGACCAGCATTTGGACATGTCAAAGCGCTGCGATGTACTGGGCCAAAATCGCCGTATTCTTTTTTCGATCCGTAAAAGACGTGTCTTGGGTGGAGCTGCCAGGGCGTGACGTAACCCCGGAAGGACATATCATTGTCTCCATTTCCCGGCGGTCTGTGGTCTACCGTGTAGATACTGCTGTGTTTTCGCTACGGCCTGGCCGCCACAGGCGTGACACCTTGTGTAGATAACCCGGGGCTTTTCTGTCTTTCCCCGCATGCAGATAGCCTTTTGCAGTTTCCTACTTTGACGATCTAGTTCAACAGCCATGCTTCAGGATAATGGATATGGATCGCGTTTTAGAGGATCAACCGTATACCTATGCTTAACGCTTCAGCAGAGGCTCGATTCTTTATCCTCTGCTATTCTCTCATATTACACATTCATTCCTACATCTTTATTTCGTCTCTGATTTATTATGCTGTGGTTACAAGCATTTCGTACCTACTCGGACTAATGGCTGCTATGCGATTGTGCTTTGGCCTATACGTTATTTCGATTTTTATCGGCATGTATCGATGATTCCAATTCATTCCCGAATGCAAAAAAAGCAGTGTCAAGAGTGTTCGCTGTCGGCTTATTACGTCAGTCGTCCTACGCTTTTCAAGCGATCGGGCGCACCTGACGCTGACGGCGCGGCGGCCACACCTAGTTACTCGGTCCGCTACTAGATGGCGTTGGTGGTAGGCGCCTGAAGTTATGCTGTGCCGCAAGGCCGTCCACTAAATCCTTTGAGATGACATTAGTTTGGCTTCGGAGTTGTATCGCCTTCGAGAGCATGGAGGCTGCACGGTTAATGGAGGGATAACGAAGAATGGATGAAGGGATTTGATGCCTCTGCTGCCATAGCTAAATGAAACTCGTGGTCTTTATTTTTAGTGCTTTGCTTACGGTACATATTTCTTTATTACAGATCAGGACAATGCTCCCATAACTTTGCGTCTCTCTCTCTCTCTCTCTCTCTCTCTCTCTCTCTCTCTCTCTCTCTCTCTCTCTCTCTCTCCTCTCTCTCTCTCTCTCTCTCTCTCTCTCTCTCTCTCTCTCTCTCTCTCTCTCTCTCTCTCTTTCTTCCAAAGATATTAGAAAAATCAGAAAACGAGTTCAGCGAAAGTGTGGAGATTATCCCGTCGTGTTTCTATGTTTGTCACATTTATAAAACTGTTAAATGCAACCAGCTTCTCTTGTGCAGAGAAACAGCCCGAGGATGGTTCCCGCTTTGCATGTGGATGGCATCAGCCTCGTTATCTCTTGGGTGGATCATTTATTCAATCAAACACAAATATCACAGATCACTGGAACAGAGCACATGCGTCGAAAATGTCTGACATTGCGAGTGGTCTGGCGTACGAATATCGGTTTAGCCGGTATTCATTAAGCTTAGCTTCATTTTGATGACATCCATTACCTACCAATTACAACCTAAATAAGGGGCGACTAGACGATGAGATGAGATTCCGAAAATATTGGATAGGTGTTATACATCAGCTGTCTTAGAAACGGTACCCAAAATATTTCGTTAAAATTAGACTACTTATAATTGCGAATTTTTGCTTTTTAAATAAGTCCCACAAACAACATGTCCTTCCCCATAAATACAGGGAACTAGTTGAGCCGTAATGGCACCCTCTCCTAGTCATTCTCTCCATGTCCGTGCCTACGCGACAGAAGGTATGTCTAAAACTATGTCGTCGCCTTATGGTCGCAAGTAATTCCTCGCTGGGAATACGACGTCGATATCGTCAATCAAGGCAAACTCCACGCTCAACATTGGCACATTTAAACGTTTGATAAGCTCATGTCATCACCAGACAGTTCATGGGTTAGCAATGATAAGAAAACACACTGCACGGGGCTGGTGCATCGCTGGGATGCTCGTTGTCCACACTTCGCAGCGCAGGCGGCAGCACTATTCGTGTCACTTCTTCAGAAGGCAACACCGGTCGTGTCTATTCTCCAGAGGGTAGCACCGTTCGTGTCACTTTCCCCAGAGGACAGCACTGTTCGTGTCACTTTCTCCAGAGGGCAGCACCGTTCACCTTGCACTTCCCGAGTATCTCGCCGTCAAACTGACGACATCGGGCACACTCCGTCGCTGTTCCACTGAGCTATCAGCGTCCGAGACGTCGTCCGCTCGGGGGTCGTACGGTAACGCATACGGCCCTTCACTGGTGGCGAGCGAGACCGCTCTGCCGCGCTGTGGCACTGTCCCGCCATCTACCGACGACCTGGCGAAACTCGAGTTCACTTCTCCCCCGCGAGAGAGACGCCCGGCGGGCCCTGCGAACGGCACTGAGTACTCTGTTTCTCGTTGCAAATCCTCTCCACACACCAGCGTTTCCATGGTACTGGTGCGGTGGAAAGCCATCTCTCCTGCCCTCGCAGCTGCTGCCGCCGCCACGGCAGCGGCCGTCGCCTTGCTGTCCAGCGTGGGACAGAGCTCGTAGTCGGAGTCGCCGTGGCTGACCACGGTTTCCAGGGTGCTCGTGGGGGCACGCTCCTGCGGCAGTGGCGGTGGTCGAATAGAGGGCGGGTGCCGCGGCCGGCCCGGGCCGGACGCGAACCGAGGCTCCTCGTAAATGGCCTCCGGGCCGCCGACCTCGCTGAAATGAGAAAGCAGAGATTTTAGCAAAGCAAGGGCATGGTGTCTTCTGAAGCAAACAATAAATAAAAAGTAAATACGAAGAGGTACTCGTGATGCGTACTTTATCTTCTAGTGATCAAATTGAATAGCTCGTTAGCATTTTTCTTTACAGTTTTTTTTTTCGAGCCCTCAGGGATTAGATCACTTCATTGAACAACAACTGGTGTCCCAGTTATCTAGCCTAGTTGTCCCAGTACAACTAGGCTAAAGTTTCCTCGTGACGCTTTATCCCCTCCTGTCCATTAGTTTGGCAAATGTTCTCGCCACGCATCCTACCTGTAAACGTGATCGTCCTCCTCCTGTTTGTGGGTCTGGTTCCGACCGAGGCCCCAAAACTCCATAAAGTTGTACGGCTCGTGAGTGAGCTTGTCATCCTTGTGTCGAGAGTTGCAGATCAGAAGGACGGCTATGACGGCCAGAACGATGGTGCCTCCCACCACACCGCCGATGATGGCGCCGAGGTACTCTGCGGGACGGCGACGGCAGAGTCGTTAGTTTCACATCACAATAGTTATGGAACGGCACACAGCTACTGAAAGTATTGGTGAGGACATCGGCCTGCCCTTCTTTCGGCGTTATCAAATAGCATTGTGTGACCCATTGCTTATTTGCCTATGCTGATGTCTAACATCAAATCGAATTGTCCACAGACCACGGGCTCTCTACCCCCTTCAAATGCCGGTCACCAATCCTTCCCTTATTCCACTATTTCCTTTTCTGCCCAAGTCTAATGCCGCACAGCCGTGTTCTTGGTCTCTTACGTACTTCTGGTGGCCGGTATTGATTCATCCGAGCTCTTCTTCGGCTCGGCTGTTCCCGAGTCGGTAGTCGTTTCCGGAACTGTGAAAATATAGCCGTTATTATATCGTGTTTTGCTACAACTCGCTACCATTATGCCACGTTATTACTATTTGATAGGAGTTCTTGTAGACTTATGTTTAGTATCAAAATAGTGATACGTTTGACAATTATGGAAGCAAAACAGTGTTCTTTGGAAATAAAGAACACTATCAAAAGGGTTATACTGGCCCATAAAGACACGGATATCGCTTTCCAGACTACCAGATAGAGGGCAAGACCTAGGGCTGAGTCGCACCACGGACTAACCGGTGTGCACGGAGGGAGTGGGCGGTGGCTGTGGCTTTGGAGACGGGGGCGATGGGCGCGGACGACGGTCACAGAAGTTCGGCTGAGTCCAGGTGCGCTGGTGACACTGGATGTGACCGGTGGTCAGGTGGGCGTCCACACACGTCACGTTGATGACGCCGCCGTCTATAGTGGGCCGAGCCCGGTTGTAGATCAGGTTCGGCTTCTGGGGAGGACTGCCGCAGAGCCGTGGCGCTGGGGAGAGAAAGATGTTAGTCACTGGAACAGTGTGTGATTTTGTATGGTGGATGTATGAAGGCATCCATAACCACGGTCCAAGTGTCGGCGACGGCGTCATGGCTTCAGTGATCAATGTATGCTGTATAGTGTATGTAGGTAAATTGGCCGGCAGTGCAGTCGATGGATACACGACTGTGCAGCGTATAGGGTGTATTGTCCAGCTGAAGCAAATCAAAATAATGGGTCCAGCACGAAATCAATTATTTCGAGTTAAACAATCCACCCACGAGTAGTGACCCACTGAAGCATTCAAAACAGCCAGCGAATGTCCATTGTTCGTTCATTATGTCTACGGACCCGGTAAAACGCCCCACAAATGTTGTTTGTGAGTGCACTAGCAGTCATGCACGGTGCATACCACAGTGCATAGTGCATACCCACCTCGCTGGCAGACGAAGCGGAACCGAGCCTCACAGGCCACCTGGACGGTGTTCCAACCAAATCGACGGCGGACGGCCAGGCAGGAGTCCGGCGGTACCGGCTGATCCGCTGTGGACACAAGAGAAATACGGCGTGAGTGTGTGAGAGGAATGTGAGAAATTGGAAAAATTAGCGAGGAAGTTGAAGAAGGATGGACGACACTTGTTTCACCGTGGCGCTGAGGCAAAAGCTGGGCATGCAAAACAGCTCGTGCTATGATTCGTCTTTTACTGTTTGTTGCTAAGCAGCAAACTGTCGCAGCTTGGCTTGTGGATGTTCGGTCGGTTTGGAATATCTATGGTAGGTATGTATGATGTAAAAGGGACTTATTCATCGCCCCCGCTTACCATCGGGAAAACCTGGGACTGATCTGACGATAGCATGCGTTTCGGACTGATACCGAGTAAACAACATGTCGTCACAATGTTGTTTATCACTTTAAAAGTACATTTACAAAACCGATTAGGGGCCGGCCGTCAGATCAGGGGTTTTTCCTCCCACTTGTTTCGGTTAGGCTATATAAGTAATCGTGTTGCCTGTCGCAGTAGGCGGCACTGGCTGTCTTGTCTCGCTTCTGATCACACAGGAAAATGTATGCCCGTGCTCCGTTCCATGTCGTTTGATGGTGAAATCTATCGCCACCGTATTAACACTAATTCGCATGTCACGGCTAAGGTGGATTTTAACCCTCGCATGTGTG